ACTCTCCTGAAGCTTCGGACTTGTTTTGGCTGGGCTCTCACAAAAAAGTTGGGCGTGTTGAGCTGAGAGAAGGCCGAGGGTTTAGGGGGCTCTTAGCGGGCTCACACAATTACACGTGTCAAATCTTTCGCAAGTGTCCACTCTAACTCTGGGGCTTTAAGGGTTTTAAGGCGTTGTTGCGAGGAGTCTCCTCCTCAAGGAAAGAAGAATTTAAGGGCTTTTGGAGAACTCTAAGGCCTTGAGGGAACTCTCGGGCCACTGACCATTCTCTCTCTCCATCCATCTCTGAGCAGCCGCCACAGTGCCCGCCGCCCCTCAACACCTTCAGGAGGGGTTTCCGGTATAAGGGCGCCTAGTCTTTGCTCTGCCTTGAGCGAGCCGAGAGTTCAGTGTTGTGTTTCTCAGAACGGTGTCTTTCCGAGACGGGGTCCGAGGATGGCAGAGCATAAGTCTCTGCGCTGTTGTGCTCTAAAGGTGCGGCATTCGCTTCGTAGCTGCCGCCCTATGTTGCGAGACAAGTCGCCCATGAAAAAAAAACACAGTGTGCTGTACCTGTGCCGACTCAGCAATCTTCAGAAAACTGATCGGTTGCAGTGTTTGTTGCCACCGGCCTAGCTGACCAGGGTTGTGCCCTGGGCACATTTGGGGAAAAAGCCTTCGACTGTGCCACGGTTTAGGGTTTCGGGTTGTGGTTGTTCCAAATTGCGTCTTTTGATTGGAGGGTCCTTGCACCTGGCACGACCACGAAACCGGAATGCTGCTGCTTGCCTATTCAATTCGTTGCTCAGAGCGTTTTGGGCAAGCTGCGCTTCGAGTCGAGCCGGTTCTGCAACCTAGTGACGGGGTGGGGGCCTGGGGCAGCGTTTAGGATTTTGAGGGTTGAGCTATGTTGAGCTCCTGCTGCCAGTACAGTGTCTTGAGCAGATGCCACAGAGGCTCAGCCCTCAGCCCCTAGTCCGACTGTGGGCGCCACACGGCTGCAATCCCACCCTAACCCCTCATGGCTTCATAACTCTCCAGTAACAAAAAACCAAGGCCCGCCAGCGGAATGGAATCAACTTCGCCATGAACCACAGGTAGCTAACTACCCGTAGCTTTGTCGTTTCCCAGTTTAGTGGTTCGTAGCTACGTAAGTTACTTATTGTCATAGGCACCCGCCCGTTGCACGTGTTCAGGAGCCCAGGCGCAATGCTTGTTGCTCCGATGCATTGCTTGGACATGTGGAAGGTCTTGAGACTCCTGCGCGGCTCACAGCACAAGAAGGACCTGCAAACCACCACTAGGACAATGAACTCCCCATCCATTCGACCTGACCGTGTCCGAACCCAACTGCAGCACCAACAGTCGGACGAATCCCCATGCTGCCTGTGGCGCCGACGGCCGCTGTACACCGTCTGCTTGTGTCCATTGCAATGGACCTCTCCGTGCACTTGTCAAAACGGTGGCTGCGCAAGAATGAGGTGCAACAAATGGTGCAACAGATGGTGCAACAGATCGAAATGCTGACCAGCGGGGGCCTCACACTTGGCCTTCCAATGATGGCCGAAATCTACCTGCCGCACAGGGGTGAAAGAGCTGCAAGCCCTCAACCCCACACCTGAGGTCCGAGAGCGGAGTCTCAGACATCACATGCCAACGTATGAGTCCGTGTGAGATTGGGTTGAAGAGGCTGTTCTCCGGAAGCCTAAATGCCCTCTCGGCCTGTCAGCCCCAAACCCTAAACCCTAAACCCTAAACCCTAAACCCTAAACCTAAACCCTAAACCCCAAACCTTCAAGAAGAGCCCCCTAAGTGAGAACGCCCAACCGGGCCATTCCGCCTTGTTGCCGGGCGCAATCTCACCGAACCTGCCGAAGGAACTTCTCGTCTCGTGTCCCCCCCCCCCCCCCGCGTAGAGGAAAATTCCATACGAAACACAATTATCTACTGATGGCTGCTGTAAGCTGCTGTAGCAGGGCAGTACGTAACCGCACTTGATCCTTGATCCTTGAACTGCAACGTCGTTGCCGTGATGAGCCCCATCTCAACACACACATTCCTGAGTTGTAAACCCTGTAAACCCAACCCCCCCCCCCCACCCTAACCAATCCTACAAGCTTGGAGGGGAGGAGCGAAGTGGTCCATGAAACGCACACACAGACACACACGTCCCCCAAACCCTATAAACTTTGCCCTAAGTCCCTAAGTTCGATGCTAAGACAGGCGGCGCATCGACTTTGAGGGTCACTTGGCCGTCCGCGGCGTAAGCTGCCTCAGGTTCATACAAACGCAGCTCTCTGCGCCGTTTTGCTGGAGGGGGCTGTTGTAGGAGAGCGTCCTAAATTGAACGCCTGCCCACCTACCTCACGGCAGCCGCTCTTTACTTGTCTCGCGGCACAGATCACGCAGCCTGTATTTCGAAGCTTCGACCTTCCAACTGGAGCACTTGGAATCGAAGCTGGAGCGACTTTTCATCGTACTCCCCCCTTCCGGGCCCCCCCCCACCCACAGGCAAAGCGGTCCAAAGGTGTTCAACGCTTTGAGCTCGGTTTCTTCCCCATTTAGGGAGCCATGCTACAAAGCGGCTCAAGGCTCTTAAACCCGTTATAAACCCCCTGAGCCGCGAGCTCGGCAGGCGTGAGCGGTGTCCCCGATGGTGCTCACCTGACCTCACGCAACAAGAACGAGTTGTCAGGGTTCTGGCAGTTTCTGTTTTGTGAGACGCTGGACTCTCGCACCCGTACCTCACCACGGCCACCACGGTCTCAGAAAGGCCCCCTGTCTAAGAGAGACCAGGCCGCTTTTTGTGAGGGTCTTCGCCGGCAAGAACTTGAAAACCTGGAAGGTGGCGCAGCGGCGGTACGAATTCTCCGGGGGTGCAGATGGGCTTACAACAAGTGCTTAGGTCACTTTTTGGGGAGGGGGGGGTTCTTACAGTTCCATTCGCCATCGGAGCCAGAGTTGGATGGGACGGAGAGCTTGGTGACTAGCTAGGCGCACTCCCAAAGCGCAAGGCCCGAAGCTGCCAGCAAACCTCCCTACACCCTAAACCCTAAACCCTAAACCCCCTAAACCCCAAACCTTATAAACCCAAGACCCTAAACCCGTTTTAGATATAGCAAACCACGCGTCACCTCCAGGCTGTCGCCCTTGAAGCCACAGGTTCCTGCGATTCTGCAGGAGCTGTGCCGCGGGCGGATTCTCGACACGGGTATGCGAGCTATTGGGAGCTATTGTGTGGCCATTGAAAAGCAGCCTCAGAAGGAGCATGGTTGGTTCTCGATTGGGTATGTGAAGCATTGACCAGGGCTTCCGAAGATGAATTGCAAAACCAGTAAAGCCGATGGCCTCCATTGTTGCCGCCTCCTTTCAGGGTAACCTTCCGGGCCGCCCCCTTGCAGATCTCCGGGATGCTCACCTGCTGCTGGGGGGGGCGAACTCGGGTGTTACTTGGTTTCACGACGGCTCAGACAAGTTTGAATGGCGCTTGGGCAGAAAGGAGTCCCTGCAGGTTGTGCCGCTGACTTGGCCGAGTCCACCGCCGCGCGACTTGACTTCTGAAGCGGAGCTAAGTGCGACGAGTCCAGAGCTGCATGAGTTCTCATGCCAGACCACCGAATCCAAAAAGGGCGACGGACAAACGAAAGACACCAAGTAGGGGCGGCAGCCCCAACAGGACCAACAGCCCAACACCAGTATATGTCTGGAAACCTTAGCTGCGCAAATTCAGGTGCGCACCTGGGTTGAGGATCAAGAAGAAGGCCATTTACCCCCCAAATAGCCCGATGCATGCATGGAAGAGGTGTCAGACATGCATCTGGATGAGATGCTGATTCGTGGCAACGGCCTGCCTACGTAAATCTTAACTGCAGTTCTCCTCGACAGCTCCACCCTTGAAGTGCTGGCAGCCATCTCAGCCTCGTGATCATGGCTGCCGATGCTGTGCTTGTACACCTGCGGTCGCTTGCAGCAGCTTTTGTTTCAAGTCTCAACGTAAGTTTCCACGTGAGCTGTACAGAGCGTGTCCTACAAGCAGCTTTAGAAAATCATCGGTGACGCAGTCTCTTCCGGAAACCCACGGTTTGTTGCCGTCCAGCATCTTCAAGAAAGCCAGGCAAGAATAAGGACTGGTTGGGGAGTTTGCAGAGCAGTTTCCTCCGTCCAAGCCTCCCCCTAATTCCGAGCATCCTAGACATACCATCCCTGAACTCGACACAAGATCTGATCATCTCAGGCCAGCGGCATCTACGACCAGCACGTCATCACAGTAGATCTGGCAATGGATCTTCTCGGCATGCTTGCTCATGACCATTTCTTAGATGGACAGCTGTAGGGGCAGCAGGGGCCGAGCAATTCGGCACCTAGCCACAGCTAAGCAGAGGAATGCTGTAGCCATCGCTTCTAAATCCCTGTTGGGGTACCAAAGCGAATCTAGGGGCTCCGTATTGTAGAAAAAAGAAATAAACCGTTCATATCAGCTCCCACCGACTTCGACTTTTCTTTGGAGATCATCGTCCGTTGAGGCCTCTCAAAAATAACTGAGTGATGAGCGCTACTCAATAGAATGATGACGCTCTTCATGGGCTCAGCGGAAGGAATGGGATCTCAAGGCGAAAGCACAGCACGCGGCACTCCCGATCATTCCTTGCGAACGTCTCTCTGCACTTTGCATCTTCAGGTTTCAGGCCAATCTAAGAGGCTGTGGCCAAGTGGAGGTGGGCGTCTCTGCAAGGAGAAGGTGCCGGTGCATGTACAAGTGCTCTCTTTCTTTCTTTCGGAGGGCGTGGAGGCCGAAGCCCCCGGGCGTCATCGCCCGAGTGCTCTCTCTCTCTCTCTCTCTCCAGGCTCTTTTTGTTGGCACAGCACGTGCTCCGTCGCTCCGTGACCCTGGGCTTCACATCTACCGGAGCCACTCAGGGGGTTTCTGTCTTGGGAGCTCTGCGTCATAAAGCCAGGTGTTTCTTCCTTCGGCCTTTTCTTGAGGAGGGCGGGGCAAACTGCCGACACATGCGCCCTCAGAATCAGAAGTCGACGGGCGGAGAGTAGGGGCAGTCGGAGAAGTGCCCGATGTGGTTGCCCTCCAGGAGACAGGCACCTCTGTGCTGTCCAAGCTACAGCAGCATATCCACTCTTAACTCCCTAGACCCTAAACCCTAAACCCTGGCGTTGATAACTTTATGACTTTCACGTGGCACGAGCGTTCAGGTACGCCATGTCGGCGGCAGAGTTCCGATAGCCCAGCATACACTTGACCTGAGCGGCATCCGGAAACTTGGAAGTTTCCCGCAAAGGAACATGGAAGTGACACTTCAAAACGTGTCCTGGGTTTATAGGGTGTACGGGTCTTAGAGGCTTTGAATCGGATTGGGATCTCTTCGCCCCTCTCCAGCTTGAACTACGCGGCATAGTGATGCTTGGCAAACTCGCGGTGCGTCACTGGCTGGCAATCCGTCGCATTTCGGTAGCCTGCCTCACACAAGGGAAGCTCAGGTGGCAGGCCTTCGGGGCAATCTTAGGGCAGGTTGGCGCTGCATCATCTCTGCAAGCTGGTTTTTCAAGATGCTGGGTTCCTGGTGGCGCAAGGGACATGTACCGGGACAGTCGGGTCACCCGACAATCCTCGGAATCCGGACCCTTGGGCGCCTCCGCTTTGATCTCGGCTGAAAAGAGTGACCCATCCATCCCGGCGCTGCACATGGTCCTCGGCTCTCACGCGAAAAGGGAGAGAGAGAGAGAGAGAGAGGGAGGGAGGGAGGGAGGGAGGGAGGGAGAGAGATCAGAGCAAGAGAGACAGAGACAGAGACAGAGACAGAGAGCGAGAGAGTGATCAGAGCGACAGAGAGAGAACAGCCTCATTAGGCCCCGCGCTTCTTCTTCTTCTCAGCGAAGACCCACAAGGGAGGCCCCGGCGGCGCTGGCCCGCTGGTCGGTTCTCTCTCTCTCTCTCTCTCTCTCTCTGTCTCTCTCTCTGTCTCTCTCTCTCTCTCTCTCTCTATTTCTTTTCTTCTTCTGCGGGGCATGAAGGCCAGGGAAGGTCCCCCTGACAAACGCGCACTGGGCGCGCAGGGATCGTCACTGAGTCGGTTCTTTCTTCCTTTCTTGCTTTCAGGCATCCACGCCCCTGACCGGATCCTTTGGCATGATGCTTGGTGCCTTGTGGGACGCTCCCATCTCTCTCTCTCTCTCTCTGTCTCTTTCTTTCTCTCTCTTTCTTTCTTTCTTGGGGGCATGGGCTCACTCTCTCTTTCTCTTCTTATTTCTCTTCTCTTTCTCTTTCTCTTTCTCTTTTCTCTTTCTCTTTCTCTTTCTCTTTCTCTTTCTCTTTCTCTTTCTCTTTCTCTTTCTCTTTCTCTTTCTCTTACTCTTACTCTTTCTCTTTCTGTTTCTCTTTCTCCCTCTCCGTCTCTCTCCCTCTCCCTCTCCCTCTCCCTCTCCCTCTCCCTCTCCCTATCCCTCTCCACTCTCCTCTCCCTCTCCCTCTCCCTCTCCCTCTCCCTCTCCCTCTCTCTCTCTCTCTCTCGCTCTCTCTCTCTCTTCCTCGGTGATTAAGGGTCCTTGCGCAAGCCTGAGGGCTGCTCGCTACTCAGCCATGTGAACATGAAAACAGCTCGGATCCCCGATCACCCCAATCCAATGAGAGAGGCATAGCTGAGATCACCATATTCCGGTCCAGCCAGTCAGCTAACACCAACTCTTCCTTGGAGAAGTTGTAAGTGGCCTCTCCAATCTGAAGCTGTGGAGTTCTGAAACAACAAAATTTTAGATTCCACTGGCGCAGCACAGGAAGTCTCATGGAAGCTTAAAGATGGGGGAAGAGGGGGACTCACATCAGTTGCTTCCGGGTTTTGTGTGTGGTCTTCTTTTGAGATGTGTTTTACCATGCGTGTGTTGTTCTTGTTGCTTCCCTGTTGTGTCTTCGCCGGCCACCTGATTGCATGCGCCGTCCAGAACGTCCGAGAAGTGCACACAGCTGGGCCTGAATCTCGTCGCATTTCTGCTTCGACAAAGAAATCCACAGGGAGCTGTTCCTGAGTTCTGCCAGGAGGTCGCATCAAGTGCAAGATGAAATCCGATTCGCCAGGGCTCTTCATCCACTCTGGATCAAGACCTTGTCCCTGCAGAAATCCCAGGGAGTACCTCAGCACCCAATTCGAGTGACTTGAGTTGCATCTGCCCCCCGAAACACAAGGGAGAACAGAGTGCGCGGGCTTTGCTGGGGGGGGGGGGGGGGAAGGGTAGCTAAATCAGTGGGGGCTTGGTCCCCGGTCTCAGAGTGGGCATTGCACGGTTTTAGGACCAGCAGAAAGATCTCTGATCTCCTGCTACCAACCACATGAAAGACTTCGAAGTGATGGGAAAAGGGGGGCACTTGGCAGGGTTCAGGGCTACAATCGGGTCTTGGGGTTGCGGCTCGGCCACCCCCAAACTCTAACATTGCTCACCCAACATCTTCGCTTCTGGGTCAATAACCATACCACGCAGCTCCTGAACTACCTGGCCGAGAAACTTGAGTTCGGACAGAGGGGGCCCGCACAAAACAAATGTGATCGTGCCCTGTGGAAAGTGGAACACACAGGCCCTTCCGTGTTGGGATTGTCGAGTGTGCTGCGCAGCTTCTGAATCACAGGGCCCATCAATGCTAGACTTGAGCGCTTCAAGTGGTGAAGGTCCGAACATCTAGGGCTTGGGTGCCTACAGCGAAGCTAAAAGCGTGAAGCTCACAAGAAAGCTCGCAGCATGGGCATGCGCGGCCAGCGTCTACGGTGATTCCTCCCCAGTAAATTTGGACCCAGGTGCGCATAAAGGTCGTCGTAGCTGTAGTGGGGACTGTCCATCTGGGTCGTCAGATTCTCCACGCCCTGGGCAGACTTCTCTATACCAAGCTGCTAACTTTAGCCTTCAGCTTCACATGCGCATGTTCTTGGCGCCTCGAAGTTGTAGGTGAGAACGGGACCTGTGTGGAGGCCCCTGTAGAAGGGGCCGCGGAGGCCCAGTATGCCCTCCACGGCCTCCAGCTCGTAGTGCGGAACCGGCCCCGCGTACGCCACCCAGAAGGCGGTGTCTTAGGACCAATGTGGATTCTGATGTATGTATGTATGTATGTATGTATGTATGTATGTATGTATATTGATACATGTATGCATACAAATATAAATACAAATATAAATATAATATATATATATAAACAACATATAAAAACATGGTTCCAGGGGTGAACCCGGCCCCTGCGTTTTAGTATTTTACGTAAGTACACGAAACGAAACCACGCGTTTGGATGTGTTCATGGCTGCGGATAGAGACAAGCAGAGTATATATGTGGTCTTTATTGAATACTTCAGACATCTTTGTTTCATCGTTATGTAAGTAGAACCGCGTCTATTTCCATTCTTGTGCATTTTTAAGCTTGCTTATGCAAATTGTGCTTTTCAGACATAGTATATAAGTGGTCTTTATTGAATACTTCAGCAATCTTTGTTTCATTGTTATGTAGGTAGAACCGCTTCCATTTCCGTTAGTGTTTCTTTCGTATTTGGTTGAGTATGGTCCTTTAAATAGTATTCACTTGAGTCAAATTGGGCTATTTGCTTAAGAATTCCTCTAGTAGTTAAATTCGCATAGAATGAATACTTCAACAATATAAAATGTTTCATGAATATGTAAACATAAGGTATTTCATTTGACTTTGCAGATAGTATTTCAATAATACTTTGCCTGGTGTAAACCCAGCCGTTTCAATGCATTAGTTGCTCAACAAAGCACTATTTGCCGTTTCAATGCATTAGTTGCTCAACAAAGCACCACACTTTGCAATATTTTGGTTGAATATGGTGCTTCTTTCGTATTTTGGTTGAGTATGGTCCTGTAAATGGTATTCACTTCAGTCAAATTGAGGTATTTGCTTAATAATTACTCTAGTAGCTAAATTCGCATAAAATAATTCTTTCAAAAATACAAACGATTCATAAATATGTAAACATAAAGTATTTCAGTGGACTTTTCAGAGAGCATACTTTGCCTAGTACAAACACAATTGTATGAATACAGTAGTTGCTCAACAAAGCATTATTTGCACTTTACACTTTGCCATATTTTGGTTGAGAATGGTGTCTATTTCGTATCTTGGTTGAGTATGCTCCTTTAAATAGTATTCACTTGAGTCAAATTGGGCTCTTTGCTTAATAATTACTCTAGTAGTTAAATTCGCATAGAATCAAGAAAAATGTTTCAGTGTTTAATTAATACTTTGCCTCGTACAAACACAATTGTATAAATAAACTAGTTGCTCAACAAAACATTAGTTGCCCTTTAAACGCACAATTTGCATAGAAAAAAACACAGATCTAATCATCTAAACCAGCATTGTCCGCTTCAGATTCAAAAGGTAGATTATTCCAATGCTGGCTTATTGGAGTCTGTGAGGTGGGTGTCCCAGTACTGTCCTTCATTACCCGGTGATGAACTACGCGACTTTTGGGCCTTCTTCGTTGTTTTTTGTTAAAAAAGCCTAAAAAGGCTTAAAAAGGGTAGGTCGCTGGGGGGGGAGGGGGTAGCTATATGGTACCCCCCCCCCCAGTGACCTACCCTTTTTCGCCTTGTCTCAAGTCACCCAGCTGCACTGCAAGCAAACTCGGTGTGCAATATAGCGTATTTCCTAGGGCGTAGACTAAAATACAACTAAATCTGCATACACGGGACAGTAGAAAAACCAAAAAAACCAAAACCAAAAAAACCAAAACCAAAAAAACCAAAAAAACCAAAACCAAAAAAACCAAAAAAAACAAAACCAAAAAAACCAAAAAAACTAAAAAACACCATTTCCTAGGAACTCTTACAGGGAGACTTCCTGAATAATGGTTTTTTTGGTTTTTTTGTTTTTTTTGGTTTTGGTTTTTTTGGTTTTTGTGGTTTTGGTTTCTTGGGTATTTTTGTGGACAGCACCACAACACTGAAATAGCAAATAAACCCTTCGCCCCTGGAGCGTGTCGACATGCACGAGGGACGCGACGTCGCGTGCAGAATAAAAGTGCCAAAACGCAGGGGCCGGGTTCACCCCTGGAGCCAAAAACATATATATATATATATATAGACAGATAGATATGCTTACGTCTAGTTAGTACTGCTCACGGAGATGTTCTGAGGGCTCAACCAAATCAACCAAAATCAATTCAACGGATGCTTAACGTTGGCATGGGTCAGTTGAAGTAGCAATAGCCATCTACCCCAGGATGTTCGGCCAACACGTCCGGGATAGGCCGGTAGCAGTCGTCTCGGTGCGTGTGAAACCGGCAGTTATTCGCGCATAAGGCATTGGCCTCTGGGTCGCACTTGTCGATGAGAAGGTGACCGCACTCCTGCTGCCGCTGCACCTGGGCCTGCACATGGACGGTGGGTGGCGCACGCTGAAAGAGACCTTCGACTCCGCGACCTTGCAAGTTAATCCCTTAAAACCTTCACGCCATGTGCATGCCCGAAACAACTGAATGACGCGCGCGCCGGGGCCTTCTCCAGCTGCAGCATGCTCATGGCAGCCGCGTCCACCCCGCAAGCCTCCTGAAAAGGCTGTGGGAGGGTTCTTTTTGTTAAAAAGCGGGCGGCCCGGAATTACGGGCGCAGTGGCGTGACATGTCCTCCGGCCGACTCGAACCGACCAGCTCGGCCAGGAGCAGTGGAATCAACGGAAGCACTGCCAGTGCCATGGCGGAGGCTTCTCCCCCAAAGGTACAGTGAAAGTGAGGCAAAGGCTCTAGGGTTCGAGCCTCTTTTTGGCAGGCTCGCAGCCTAAGCAGAAAACCCCCGTTTGTCCCATGTGCACTTTTGAAAGGGCTTGTGGGATGTCCTTGCTCGAGCAACCTGGAGGCCATCTTCCACCTATCCTGAACACCCCAATAATTCTTTCCAAGCCTTCGATCTCAAGCAATAGAAGCATGCGCTCTAGAAGCAGCATGTGCCCACTGGCCACCCAAATACTTAAAAAGCCACACCCGCGCGGTGTTTTGTGAGACGCCTCTGGGATGCGAAACCGATGTGAGTTCAGTTGGGGCAAGCAACAAAAAACTCCTTCTGGGCTCTCATTGCCTATATTGAGATATATATCTTCTAGAGGCAGCCTTAAAGTACCAAGAGGTAGGCCCAGCTCTGCCACGCGGCTGCCGCTCTTCAGCGTGCCGAACTCCCGGAAGTCTGCGGTCACCGTGTCCATGCCCTTTTAAGGGGGAAGGGGGGGGGGGGATTGCCAACCATGCTCTCACACCCCCCTGTGTTGAAGCCACTTAGGGTTTAGGGTTTGGGGTTTAGGGTTTAGGGTTTAGGGAGAAACCCTCCCCCAACCCCTGAAGCAAACGCTTGATGCTTGAGCCTCTAGAGCAGCGCGGCTGCAGTGACTTAGCAAAAACCGGGGTCCCGGCCTCCACCCGCGCGTTGCTAGCGGCCTGGCACAGAGAAGGCCGCGGGGAAAGCCATGAATGCCTCGATGGACACCCTCTAAGACCCTTTTCTTAAATCTGCGCCTTTCCAGGCTTGAGCAGCGCGGACTTGGGTATCGTGATCTTGCGGTTCCCTGTATCTGGGCCCTGGTATCGGAGCTTCAAGACCTCACCGCCACCCACCTCGCCTTGGCTGTGGGGCTACAACGGCGAAGAGGCTGAGAAAAACAGGGTTTAGTATGGTTTAGTCGCTCAGGGTTTATAGGGCCTATAGGGTCTATAGGCTTTAGGGTTTGGGGTTTCGGGTTGGGTTTCGATCAAGGCGCACATGTCCAGCACCAGCGTGTGCTTGCCGGCGTTGAGCCAGATCCAGTGACTGCCATGCTCCCTCTCTCCGTGGCAGCCGTTGTTGTCGACGATCTTGTGGCCGTTGATGTACAGCAGTGAGCCTCTCATGCCCAAGTGATCTGCCTCCCTGCCCATATCACCTTAACACTGTGCCCCCTCCATCGGACTCTATCGATGCGCAAAAGACTGTGCTGACTGCTGTTGTGTTCCGAGCGCGCCGTCGTCGGAGGCGGTCGTGAAGTGATAGTGCCCGCGCTTCTTGATGACGAGGTAGCCACTGCACCTGCCAAGTCTGCCAAGTAATGAGCCTTCGGAGACGCGCTCCTGACACTTCCGCACGATCACAAGGACCAACGGCATTCTTTTTCCTCTCTCGCTCGCCCCACCTCATGCAGAAGTGGTCGCTGTGCCGTATTCCAGGAAAGCGGCCATGCTCCTGCAAAGGCCAGGGGTGCGCATCACGCTTGCGAACCACGCAGTCCTTGTTGCCAAAGATCTGCGGCTACCCCCCCTTTATCAGCCTCTATCTATCACATGCAACAACCTATATCAGAATGTATATGTACATGTACATATATATATGTATGTGTATATGTGTGTATGTGTATCTCTCTCTCTCTCTTTCTCTCTTGTTCGGTCCGATCCCGATTGAAAACCCGGTCCATCCAAACCTCCGACACTGCCACGGTGTGGGACGCGTGCCTTACCATGCGCTCGGACGTAACAAAAAATTTTAATTCTGGGCTCAAGATGGTCTAACTGTCTAACCCCCCAGAAGCCTTTCTGAAAATGTCAGGCGAGGAGCAGCCTGCCGAGGTTCGGGACCCAGCAATGCGACTGGCTGTAGAAGTACGAACACTCCAGACCTGCCTGCAAAAAAGAGAGAGGGGGGGAGCTGCCTCCTCTCACTCTCTCATGCTCTCTCATACTCTCATCTCATACTCTCTCATACTCTCTCATACTCTCTCTCTCTCTTCCTGTCTGTGAGAGACCGCTGCGAGCTGGGCTCAGGGCCTTGTCATGCCTCAAGGCCGAGCTGGGCACCTTGACCTTGTGGTTGTTGGAGTCCGGGCCCTGGTAGCGCAGCTTCATGTTCTCGCCGCCCGCATTCTCGCACATGTCGACTCCGATCAGGTGGTGCCCTTGGGTCAGCCACTGGTTGCCGCTCGTCCTCTCCCGTTCACCATGGCAGCCGTTGTTGTCCACGATGCGGTGGCCATTCAAGTACATGAAGGAGCCTGCAGAGAGGTCACACTGCTCTTCATGCTCTGCATTAGCTCTGCCTCTCGCCCCCCCCACTTTCCTTCGCACTTGCAGAATCTAAGCCGGGTCGCCATCGTCTGATGCAGTCGTGAACTTGTAGTTGCCTTCCTTCTGGATGGACACTTGGGCAGTGCACCTGCAAGCGGAAGGGTCTTGAGTCTTAACACCTGCTCCTGCAAGATTCTGCAGAGGATCCTTGGCCTCATGCAGAAGTGGTCACCTTGCTTGATTCCCGGGAACCTCCCGTGTGCCTGCGCGATCCAGGCGTGTACTGAAATCAAGATCTGGCTTCGACATCATGTGTGCACATCCCGTGTTTCAACACCCCAGTCCATGTAGATGTCTGGCACGGTCACGCTGTGGGACGGGCTCCTTCCAATCGCACTCTTGAGTTCTGGCAGAATTCAGGCGCGTGCGCAATTTGGCAGAAGCACAGAGTCATAGAGCAGTGGCATAGAGACGGGGGTCATGAGCAGGTCAGGGATGAGAAGGATGAGCCGGACACGAGGGGAACCAGTCATTCCGAACGACAGGAAACAAAGTCAGGAAACGGAAAAGCCAAAGTGAGATCTAAAGATCGCGCGATGTCAGGGATGAGTCTTCAATCTATGACGAAACTACACTGCAAGGTTCTGCCAAGGGTCAGATGGTCCAGGTTGGGGACGTAGCAGTGGCGCTGGCCATAGAAGTAGTCGCACTCTGCCCCATCCTCACAAGGACTTTAAGGACTTTTCGGCTTGCACCTGGCAACCCTGGCAGTCTTACTGTCACAGCCCGGCCGATACCTCACTTGAGGCTCGTATTCTTGCGGCAAGTAGCCACAAACACACAGCCGTCCTACTCCCGAAGGATCCCAAAGGGGTGCGACAAGAAGCCCTGGGCCCTGGGTGATGAGGCATGTGCGATCGGAACGGAAGTGTCGTGACCGGCATACACACACACGCAAACACACAAACACACAAACACACGCATCGAATGGCATCGAAGTCCCGGGTCCTTCAGCTCAACTTCCGCGGCCGTCTGGGCGAGGCTCTACTCGCACTGCATGGAATGTGTCTGCCCTTGCCTTATCCACCCGCGCCTTCTGGTACTTGAGCACGGATCTTGGCACCGTGATCTTGTGGTTCCCCGTATCCGGCCCCTTGTATCGCAGCTTCAGGGCCTCGCCACCGCCCACCTCGCCTCGGTCGTGGGCAACGCCCTTTCGTGACGGGTTCAGGGTTTAGGGTTCAGGGTTTAGGGTTTAGGGTTTAGGCTTTAGGGTTTAGGGTGCGCACCCGAGCATCCGATGAGCATCCGAGTGGCACATGTCCACCACCAGCTTGTGCCGGCCCGGGCTGAGCCGCTTCCAGGAACTCCCGCGCTCTCTCTCCCCATGGCAACCGTTGTTGTCGACGATCCGGTGCCCGTCCAAGTACAGCAAGGAGCCTGGGGGCTCAAAATTCTTCATTGCAGACATCTACACCATGTCTGCCAAATCTCGGCACTGTGTGTGATGGCGCGGAAGATGCGGATACAACCCAACCTCATGGCAGGTTAAGGAGCCATCGTCTGAGGCAGTCGAGAACCAATAGTTGCCCCGTTTCTTGATGATCAAGTAGCCGCTGCACCTGGACATTCCGAGGCATTGCTCGCACCCCGACGCTTCTCCGCTCCATGCCAATCCAGACTTCCCGGCCTCACGCAGAAGTGGTTGGTCTGCCGAATGCCCGGAAACCGCCCGTTCTCCTTCAAAGAACAACAATATTTAGCTGCCGTTTGGGAAAAGACAGCGCTTTCGAGTGAAGAGATGACAGCCAGCGCGACTGCGACAGCCCAGTCCATAAAGACCTGCGGGACGATCACGTGATGCTCTGCTGTCCTCAGACAGCCGCAAGATCGAGTTCAATCAAGCTTGCACTGCCCAATTCTTTGGCTTCAGGTCCCCGAGATTCGTCAAGCTGCAGTTTGCCAAGGTCGGGGACGTTGCAGTGGTTCTGGTGGTAGAAGTACGAGCACTGCAGCCCGTCCTGGCAAGAAGGAATTGCAAAGGCCCGTGGACCTTCAAAAAGCTATTCGCAGCAAAGGACTTTTCTGCATGGATAGCAACGAGCTGGGGAAAAGCACGGGCACAAGAGAGGGTACATGTACATGATAGGACGCCTGGAGCGCTCAAACCCATGGCAAGCTGCAAGCTGCTACATAAACCTCTTCCTCTTCGAAGTGAAACAAGCTTCAGTCCACAAGGTCTTCTGCCGTCACCCGAACCCACTATACCTTTTTAGGTTCAGGGCCACAGCAAGTCGGCATCCTTCGGGGGGCCAAAACTAGGCTGCTCTTCCGGAACCTTGTCGACCCCCAAGAAGTGCCAGATCTCCATAGTGAACTTCTTCAAATGAAACTAACAGGAACTACCGGACAATCTCAGGAAGCGCCCCCGATGTGGCTGAGCCTGGAGGATCAGGTTCTTTCTCGCCTCACACCGGAGAAGCATGGAAATGGGAGGTTCTGTAGGCTGGACCGCAGAAATCCGCAGAAGCAAACAAGCCAAACCCTCAAAACCGCCCTCAACAACTGAGGTGAGCGAGATTTCAGAAACCTAACCTTCACCATGCCCGTCCACACCCTTTGGCCTTTCGCTTCAGTGCTTTGACGTGGCTGCTCGTGATCTTCTGAGACCTGGAAGTGGAAGGGGATCTTGATGTAGAGACTGCCCCAGTGATTGCGGGCATTTCACGAGGCAGGAGGGAAGCATCATGAGCATCAGCTGGGTATATTTCCGGCCACATGCCCCCCCCTTGATGCCAGATGTTGAAAAACCAACTGCCCCAGTGATTTCACGCATTTGACGAGGCAGGAGGGGAGCATCATGGGCATCAGCTGGGTATACTTCCGGCCACATGGCCCCCCTAGACGCCAGACATTGCAAAGCCGACTGCCCCAGTGACAGCACGCATTTGACGAGGCAGGAGGGGAGCATCATGAGCATCAGCTGGGTATTGATTTCTGGTTACATGGCCCTCCTAGACGCCAGACGTTGCAAAACCAACTGCCACAGTGCATGCGCGCATTTGACGAGTCCGGAGGGAAACATCATGAGCATCAACATGGCTTCCCTACACGCCAGGCGTTGCAAAACCAACTAGCGAGGCAGGCTATATTTCCGGCCACATTGCCTTACCTAGACGCCAGACGTTGCAAAGCCAACTGCCCCAGTGATGGCGCGCATTTAAGCATCATGAGCATCAGATGGGTATAGTTCCGGACACATGGCCCTCCTACTGTGAGAATCAAGACGTTGCAAGGAGGGGAGCATCGTGAGCATCAGCTGGGTATATTTCCGGCCACATGGCCCCTAGAGCGAAGTCGCAGAATTTGCAACTCCAGTCGAATTTTCTTGAGGACTGCCCCACCAGAATACAACACGAACAGCAACAACATCAGCACCAAGAGGACCAAGAGCACCAAAAAAATGGACAGCATTGCAACCTTTCTTTCCAAAGGGCCCCGGTGTCTTCGGCTGTGGCACCGCTGCCCTGAAGATCTCGAGCTCCAGGAAGTGGATGCCGTTCTTAGTTGCGGATGTAAGAGTTGCAAAACAGCACCGTTTGGGGTGGAGCAACTCTCGTTCCTTACTGGGGAGTGTGTCGAAGTCGTGTTCAAGCCCTTTTCAGCCTATACAGCCTATACAGCCTATACAGGTCTGCGCGACCTGTCCGTCCACACCTGTGAAACTCCTGCTGCAAGCTTTCTTGCAAGATCGCTCCAAGACTTCCTCAATGGCCTGCTCTGCAGCCTGCTCATCGCCTACGCTTTCAACATATAACATGTATGCCTGGCCCGTCAGCCTTACGCTATGCCGTATGCTCAGATTGGGACAGGGAATCCAGCAGAGTTTGCTCTGGAGCTCACAAATGGCAGGGCTACTGCATAGGTTGTAGATGGAGAAAGATGTGTAGCGGAACTTGAAACAGTTTCAAAGGCCTCTTGTGCTTACATCGCAAGGACTTTCAGGGCTGAAATAGACGGTTCTTTGTGTTCTTGTTCATGCGCAGCATGCACTGGACATGAGATGGCTTCGGTTCACCCTTCCTGTATCTATTCACCGTTGCCCAGCCAGGGTGTTCTGACAATTCATCCTCAATCGTATGGATCCTGAGAGGGTGGCCTCAGACACCAAAAACTTCATTCCCAGCGGCATTGGCGGTGCTCTTGCTCGAAAAGACGCGAACATAGCGGCCCTCAGAGACACCGGCTCTTGCTTTCACTCTTGAGATTTTGTTTAAGGTCCCCAAAACAGCTCACTCTGCATGGCATCTCGGTAGTTAAATGTTCTGAACTCCTCCCCCAGCATAACAGGGCAGGGGCCAGCGTGTGGGGCTAAGTTGGAGAGCTCCCCTAGAAGCCGATTAGAAACCGATGACAAGCTGCAGACTACAGGGGTCTACATGAAGCCTCGCCAAGGCGCAACCTGCGCACCCAAGTTGAAGGTGATGCCTCGCACGGCGCATGGACGTGTGATCAAGGTCGTTGTTGAAGCCCAGTTGTTCCCTCCAAACAACGATGTTGAGTTATCCCTCGAGTATACTTCGTTTTTGGCGGGGGTGCCCCTTCGTCATGAGCTCCATCAGGCCGGAAGCAAGGATTTCTGACGCACAGTCTGTCATGATGCCTGGGGCGTTGCAACCTCGAACTCGATCCCTACGCCCACAGCATGCTGACGAACTCTGTGCCGGACTGCATCAAACGATGTAGGAAAGATGCTCCGCATTGCTTTACAAACAACGTCGAACAACTACCTGCAGCATTCGCGAGTATGTTCCGGGGGGTGATCCCTCGATTGACGCATTTTCTGCGCAGGATCAGGCTGAACCCGGTTTGGGGAAGGTCTGGTCTTGTCACGAGCCTCAAAAACAGTCACTTTCTTGACATGCTACAATCGGTCTTAGTTGGGCGGCCCAGCTGGGCTATTTGCTGGCATGCCACCTTTCCCCGTCTCCTTGTTCTTCCAATGGTGATTCTCGTAGATGGTCTTCCTGCAATCCAGGGCTGGCAGAAACACGCACAAGCGCATGCTGTGTTGGTTCATAGCCTTTTGTCCCATCTTTTTGTCTGACACTTTCTGGCCGCCTCCGACCCCAAAGGCTACGGCCATGTCATGTGGTTGCTAAACACTTTCCTGATGTGCTCGCATAGCGTCCGGCTTCACGCCCTCCGACCCCGATTCCGAACCTAAATCTTTTTCTTAAGCTCTCAGTCAGTCCAGCTGTTCTCGTTGTTGGACACCTGGATCTTGTGGCCTCAGTCTGCCACGCGAACTCTTCAGAGCGTGCTCGGAGCAAGATCCTTTCCTTTGCCCTCTTACCAACAGCCCCTTGGCTTCTCAAGTGATTCAAAGGCCAGGATGCCGCAATACTTGCGCCACCCATCTGGATAGCCTTGGGATGGAATCCACATGCTTCCAATACTATGAGCATGCCGGCCCCCAAAAGGCACTGCAGCTCCAAAACGGATTCTACCGTTCAGTGCGTAAGAATCTAAGACCCCGCAACGGGCTGAAAGCCGAGTCCATACTTCAGGGAGTGACTACTCGGATCCCGCCAGCTTTAACTCCAGCCGTCATCTCCTGGAAAACCTGAACTCCGGAACTCTTCCTAGGGGTGTGCAACGTTGCGTGGCCTCGGAAGCGCTTCGTGTCCCACGAAACGGTTAATACCCACAACATGCATCCTGCTTCCCACGGCTCCCAATCGTGCAGAAAGGGGGGGGGCCCCCACGTCTGCCTTCAAGATTTGCCTTCAGGAAAAAGACTTGACCTCCCTCAAGGACTCTTCTGCAACACACAGGTCGGGTCGCCAAAACATGCGGTATGCAGCCACAGCTTCAACCGTCGCACTGCAGCTGACGTACGTGTGTGCGCTATGGTGCGCTTTAGCGGAACACCCCTTCAAGTTCGTGCGACGGAGACATCCATAGCATGCCCTTCCGACACCCATTGGCACACCCTCCTCTCCAGTGTGGTGAAGGGCAGCTTAAGCGTGCAGCTGTGGTGTGCCAGCAGGTCAGCTTAAAGAAACCGCTCAAGTCCTACTCCTTCTCCTGGAGCTTCTAAAAATTCTAAAAAAAATCCAACCATGTCTTGCATGGAAAGTGACCGTACAGCTTCACCTGGTCAAACTCCTTGATTGCTCCGAGATCGACCTGCGTTGCAAGCATCTTCGCACCTTTTCGACATTTTCCTATTTTCAAGGGGCGGCTAAAGGCTCTGAACATCAACCACCCATCGACTCCGACCCCTAAGTCTCTCCAGAAATCCGTTAACCTCCTCCCGTCCCCCCACGTGAGGAGGCCTGCACCCACTTCATCTGGTGGCAGTGGTGGCTGCCCGATTGAGGAGATTGGGTCCACCTTTTTGCCGGCGACATCCGTGGGGCCGAGGAGAACCCTCCGTCTCTCACTGCAAAATGGCCGAACCTTCAAGAAAAACCTGGCCCCAACAAACCCCGTAAGCCCTAGAAACCCTAAACACACTCGATAAGACGGCCCCCAATACAACCTACAAGGCCTAACCCTATAAACCCAAAACCATTTTTTGAAGAAGGACTTGCTGAACACCCTCAACCCTGTAACCATTTCACCCTCTTACCCTGTAGCCCGATAAGCGTGCAACCCTAAAACTCTAAGACGGTAAAACCCTAGAACCCTACAGCCCTGTAACCCTGCAACCCTATAGCCCTGTAACCCTGACACTAAACCCTAAACCTCCATTCTCCATTCTGTTTGTTGGTCGCTCTCCAAGGCGCAGCCACCCGTCCTTGCGACCATCGACCAGGGCGCGGCTACATTTCCCCACGCCGGGGCCACATTTCACCGGCCTCGTTCTCAGAGCATGGATTGGGGCATTCTCTCTCTCTCTCTCTCTCTCGCTCTCTCTCTCTCTCTCTCTCTCTCTCTCTCTCTCCCTCTTCTTCTCCTTCTTCTTCTCCACGCTCAAGAGGGTCCCCCCAATGGAGGTCCCCCGGCCACGACGGCCCAGCGGTTCTTGTCCACAATCCCTAAGCTTACGTGTGAAGCCTCGGGAGTAAACTTCGTCAGCTCATTTCTCTGACTGTTTCGGGTCTAGTTTGCGTTCCTCAGAGTCTGGGCCCTCTTGTGGTTCTTCTCCCCGTTGGCCATCGTGGTCTCCGTCTTGTGGTCGTCCGGCAGGTGTGGCTTGCTCTCCTCCTCCCTCAGTTGGTGGTCCCCTCGTCTCCGTTGTGGTGGCCTCCTCTCTTCCCGGCGTACTTGGGTTTCTTGGCGGCGGCTTGTCGCTTCCTCTTTTGCCCTCGTCGCTGCGGCTCCTCCTGGTCTGCGTTGCCCCCGACCTTGTCGTCGAGGTTCGTCGCTGTCTCCGGTTCGTGCTGGTCCCCGTCGGTCTGGTCGTGGGCGAGCTCCTCGTGGTCGTGCTCCTCCTCGACGTCGGCTTCCGTGCTGTCGGCGAGCGCGTCGTGGTGCTGCTCGTGCTCGCTGTAGTGTGGTCCCCTTCTCGTTGCACCCAGTTGCTCCTCCTGGTCTGTGTTGCCCCCTTCTCTGTCGTCTCGGTTCGTCGCTGTCCCCGGTCCGTGCTGGTCCCCGTCGGTCTGGTCGTAGGCAAGCTCCTCGTGGTCGTGCTCCTTCTCGGCGTCGGCTTTCGTGCTGTCGGTGAGCTCGTCGTGGTGCTGCTCGTGGTCGTTGTAGTGTGGCCCCCTTCTTGGTTTTTCCCCTGCCACTTTCTCCTCCTCTCTGTCGTCGGGGGTCGTCGTGGTCTCCGGCTTGTGCTGGGTGCTCCTCTGCTTTCTTGCTTCTCTTCGGCTGCTCTCCAGGTCCTCCTCGGGCTCGTCGGTCGGGCTGTCGGCGGGCTCGTCGTGGCGCTGGTCGTACTCCTCCTCGGGCTCGTCGGTCGGGCTGTCGGCGGGCTCGTCGTGGTGCTGGTCGTACTCCTATTTCCCGGCGTCCGCTTTCGTGCTGTCGGGAGGCTCGACGTGGTGCTGCTCGTGCTCGGTGTGGTTTGGCCCCCTTCTCTCTGCGCTCTGCTGTCCTGCACTCTCATGTGCTTCTTGTTCCTCGTCTTCTTCTCCATCTTCTCGTTCTTGTTCTTGCACAGGCTGCAGTGGCTGTCGGCTCTGTGGTGGTGGTCCCCAAATCGACCAGCTTCTCGTCCCCGCTGTTCTTGTTGGCGAAGGCGTGGCTTCCCATCGGTCCGTTGGTCGGCTCGACCCACTACTTTCTGCTTCGCTCCTCTCTCGCTCTTCGCTGGCTTCTTGGTCGTGCAGTCGAGGGTCTCCTTCTTCTTCTTCCTCTGGCTCGTTCTCCACTATAGCACTGACGACCGTGACGACGTTGGGCCCCTTGTCCACGTCAGGTGTCCGCGTCGGTGGTTCGGTCGCGGTCCCTTCGGGGTAGATGGTTCGCGTTCTCGTCGTCCAGGTCTTGTAGTCGAGGTGCTCGTGGTGGTAGGGGTCCGTAGAGGCGCTTGCTCGGTTGGCTTTGTCACGAGGAGGGCCAGTCCTCCTGGTGCTCCTCGCATTGTTCTGCTTGCGGAAGGTGGTCCCCCATTTTCTTTTCTGGTGGTAGGCCTCCAAGATTGTTTCCAGCGTCTCGAGCGTGTCCTGGGTTAGCACCGTCACCTGGTCCTCGTGCTCGGTCTTGCGCGACAGGATCTGGCCCACCAGGTTGAGGAGGTGCTCGTGTGAGGTGGCTGCTTCGGTCGTGTTGGAGTCGCTGTCCACCAGGTGGGGTCCCCGCCAGGCGTGGATCGTATTTGCTAGTTCTCGGACGCCATCTGTGTCCAGGGGCACCGCGGTTGACGCGGTGTCCAAAAGTCGTCTCCATCTGGTCAGGGCGAGGTGGACGAAGTCGTAGAGGTCTCCTCTCTGCGGCCTTTCTTCTGGGTCCCCTGCGTGGTGGGCAATGGCGTCTGCCGGGTGGCACCCTCGCCCCGGCTCGCTGTCAGGGTCCTCGTCCGTTGGTATTGTTCCGTTTGGGAGGAGGTCGGCAGCGTTTTGGGTCCTCGCCTGCTCGGCGGTCTCCTCGTGTCTCCCCTCCAGGTACTCGTCGTACTGTATCTCTGCTAGCCTCTGCTCCTCCTCTTCTTCGAGCTCCCATCTGCGAATCTCCTCCTCCAGCATCTCTCTTCTTCGGGTCTCCTCTTGTTCGTCCTCTCGGAGTTGGTCCATCTCCTGGTCTTCGGCTGCCCCTTGCTGCTGCTGCGGCGGTCGATGGTCCCTCTGCATCAGGTCGATGTGGTCCAGGAAGTTGTCGATGATGTCGTCGGGGTCCTCCTCCTCTCCCTCTCTCTCTCTCTCTCTCTCTCTCTCTCTCTCTCTCTCTCTCTCTATATGTGCGTGCACACACACATACATACATACATACATATGTATATACGTATATATATATATATATGGTCACCCCCCCCCCAATGGACCCACCGCGGGCCTTGATCTTTGCAAAAGTACCGCAAATACCGATAAAACCTATGCTGTCTGGTGATTTTCCGGTGACCGGATTTTTGACTGTATTCCTTAATTCACCCTCTCACACACGCACGGAGGGTTTTTCTTTCTGTTGGCTTTTGTTTATAATTTAAGATCTAGGCATTTAAACCTAAGCCTGCAAAAAAAAAACCTTAACCTTTAAACCCTGTAGGGTTAAGGTTTAAAGGTTAAGGGTTTAAGATTTAGGCATTTGAACCTATGCCGGTAATTAAAGCTAAGCCCTTAACCTTTAAATTCTATCGGGTTGAGATTTTTACAGGTTTAGGGTTTAAGATGTAGGCATTTAAACCTAAGCCTGCAACTAATTTTAAACCCTTAACCTTTAAACCCTGTAGGGTTAAAGTTTAGAGGCTTAGGGTTTAATATTTAGCCATTTAAACCTGTAGCCAAGCCCTTAACCTTTAAACCCTATAGGGTTAAGATTTTTAAAGGTTTAGGATATAAGATGTAGGCATTTAAACCTAATTAAGCCTGCAACTAATTTTAAACCCTTAACCTTTAAACCCTGTTGGGCTAAGGTTTAAAGGTTTCGGGCTTAAGATTTAGGCATTTAAACCTATTCCGGCAATTTACGCTAAGCCTCTAACCTTTAAACCCTATAGGGTTAAGATATTTAAAGGTTTAGGGTTTAAGTTTAAGGTTTAGGTATTTAGACCTATGCCGGCAGTTCATATTGAACCCTTAACCTTAAACCCCATAGGGATGAGATTTAAAGGTTTAGGATTCTTTACTTAGACATTTAAATCCAAGCTGACGATTCAACCTAAACCCTTAACCTTTAAACCCTATAGGGTGAAGGTTTAAAGTTTTAGGGTTTAAGATTCAGACATTTAAACCTAAGACAGCGATTAACACTAAGCCCTTAACCTTTAAACCCTATAGGGTTAAGGTTTAAAGGTTTGGGGTTTAAGATTCAGGCATTTAAAGCTAAGTATGTAATCAATTTGTCACCCTTAACACCTCTAAACTCTGTAGTGTGAAGGTTTAAAGGCTTAGGGTTTAAAAAAACCTAAGCCCCCTAAGCCCATAGAGTTTAAACCTTAAGGGTTTAAGGTTTACGCATCTATTCCTTAACCCTAAACCCTCTAGGGTCAGGACCCTAAAGCCCTCGGCAATCAAGCCTAAACCCTTGACCTTCAAACCCCATAGGATGAAGGTTTAAAGGTTTGGGGTTTAAGACTTAGGCATTTAAACCTAGAGGGCATTTAAGCCTTAATCCTAAACCCTTTAGGGTCAGAACCTTAGCACCCTATAGGGGTCTAGCACGTTCAAAGGCTTGAACCCTACAGGCGCTGAAGGTATACATGTCCTATCGGTTTTTAAACCATTACACCCTGTAAGAAGGTTTAGGGTCTTTTCGGGGTCTATCTCTAAATTTCTCACGGGGTTAACCCTGCAGGGTTTAAAGTTAAAGGTTTAGGGTTAAAGGTTAAGGCAATACCTATAGGATTAGAACCTTATAACCCTGTAGTGCATGAGGCTTAAACCCCTAAAACTTAACCATCTTTTTCTCGAGAAAACCAAAAAAACCAAAAAAACCAAAAAAACCATCTTTTCCAAAACTATGGGGCTGGGGCCTCCAAAAGATGGTTTTTTTGGTTTTCTCGAGAAAAAGATGGTTTTTTTGGTTCGAAACCATCTTTTTCTCGAGAAAAAGATGGTTTTTGAGCAGCCGCTCTTCGAAAAACCATCTTTTTCTCGAGAAAAAGATGGTTTTTGGAGATCTTGTCCTGGAAAAACCATCTTTTTCTCGAGAAAAAGATGGTTTTTGGAGGTCTTGTCCTGGTAAAACCATCTTTTTCTCGAGAAAAAGATGGTTTTTGGAGGTCTTGTCCTGGTAAAACCATCTTTTTCTCGAGAAAAAGATGGTTTTTAGAAGAGCGGCTGCTCAAAAACCATCTTTTTTCTCGAGAAAAAGATGGTTTCGAACCAAAAAAACCATCTTTTGGAGGCCCCAGCCCCATAGTTTTGGAAAAGATGGTTTTTTTGGTTTTTTTGGTTTTTTTGGTTTTTTTGGTTTTTTTGGTTTTTTGGATTTTTTTGGTTTGTTGGTTTTTGTTAGTTTCTTGTTTTGTTGTTTTTTGCCTTGATCTGGCTAGGACTCGGCTGCCATCCGCGGTGGGTCCATTGGGGGGGGGTGAGCATATATATATACAAATAGGTATCTCAAAAGACGTGCCAGAGACACGCGTTCATCCTCAACTCACGGGCTCTGAGGCCAAGGGTTTGTCAGCTGCTGCGAACCGGTTCGACACGGCTAGGTTTAGGGTTTAGGGTTTAGGGTTTAGGGTTTAGGGTTTAGGGTTTAGGGTTTAGGGTTTAGGGTTTAGGGTTTAGGGTTTAGGGTTTAGGGTTTAGGGTTTAGGGTTTAGGGGTATCTTGGGTACCAGGGTGGCCCTTCAAACCCTCTGAAAAATTCTCCTGAATATGAACCTCTTAAACCCAATCAGGGAAAATATGAGATGTTTCAAGGGCCTACCGAGGGTATATTGCGACGCTGTAGAGTTTTTTTTCGGGGGCTTGCGGCGCATGAAAGCACACCAGCCCCTTGAAACATTGGGGTGCAGGTTTCTATGTAGGGAAACTTCTTGGGAACGCTCGGGAGTTTGGGATTTTATGGGAGTTGGGGCTTTCGGCGCAGGTGTGCATGCTTTTGACCTTGGGGAGTCTGGCGACTGGTGGTGGGAGGTTTATGGTCACCTCACGCCGCCTCCTGGGCCAAGGCTATGCAGACAAAGCACGCACGCGCACGCACGCACGCACGCACGCACGCACACACACACAAACACACACACACACACACACACACACACACACACACACACACACACACACACACACACACACACACACACACAGGGGTGCCCTCTCCCGGTCGCGCTCACACGCCGAGGAGCCGCAACGCAGCGCAGTTGCCGATGCAGGGATGCACCGTGGACTGCGGCATTCAGCGAAACGGGGAAATTCCTACACCAATGAGATCTAACTGATATGTGTTGACAAGATGTGCCAAGGTTGCTTAGCATTATAGGCGCAGCTGCCAAGAACGACCTACCCTCAAATGCCCTCCGCAATCACCCTGGAATGATACAAGGGCTTATTTAGCATTCCTCCATCCATGCGGCAGTCAGGGCTCGGCCACACGTCATGCATGCAGCATCCCAAAACACCCTGCTCTGACGTTGCAGCCGCGACCCTGATGTTGCCCTGGTACACTACCTTTTCTAGACACCCAGCTCAATAGCTAGACGGGATATGGAAGGCTTAAGGGCAACGAGCCGTATTAGACACCGCAAAGCCTCGCCTTCATCCACGTCTTTCCCCCAGCGAACTGGACCAAGTTCCTAGGTGACGGAATGAAGCGACTCATTGCGGATGATCTAAACTGATATGTGGGGGATGACCGTTCTTCAATGGTGGGTGTATGTTGGATGGGGCAACCACCTTAAGCCCGCACAACCCTGAGGTAGGCAAAATTCACACAATTTTAGGAGGTCCGGCTCGCTCCTGCAGTGGTCCCGCCGGGTTCGGGTTTTCGGGGCGTGGTGAGGGCGAACATTTAAAAGAACAAAGCGTGTTTACTTTTTCGGCTCCGAGACGCCCCTTGCGCATGTCAAACCTGCGCAGTGCCTCACCCACCTCGACCGGAGGGCGCGCGAGAAACAAGGCGTTTCTTTCAACCCTAAGCCCTACAACTCCTGATTACAACTCACAATGGTTCTAAAGGCACTATACTGAGGCAACCCACAAAGCTTGCAAAAGTGGTGCGCAATCGCAATGCGCCCCAACACAGCTAGCCGGGGATTGTCCACACCTTGCGTGGTTTGTCCGACTCGTGGCTCTTCAGAAAGGGCAAAAGGCCATGCCGCATCCCAAAAAAGCGCAAAAGACCATCAAAAGAGCGGTGGAACAGGCCTCAGGCTATGTTTGTCTTATGGCGCCGTCGAAAAGTGAATGAGCAACACCCGAACTGCCCCTCCCCTCCCGCCATGCGTAGGAGCCATGGCTGCCATAAACATGTCAACTCCCAAACTGTCGCAGAAGAGCATGGACGAACCTACGCTCTAACTGCGCCGCCTGTGTGCCTTCGGTCCGCGAGACCATCCTCGGCATCCATGACTAAGCAACACATGAAGAAGGACGGGGTTTATGCCAAGTGCATCACGCAATAAGAAGACCTACAAGCACAACCATAGCTGCAGGAAATGAGCCCTCAAACCCTTTTTGAGCCCAGTGTCCAGCAGTTCGGGTCGTCCACGCAAGCCACCAAGGCTTCCGGCAGGCTCTGGAAAGCATACCTCACGTGGCCCCATCAAAGTTCCAGCTGAACAGGCGGCAATTAGATGCGATTGTCGGGCAAGTCGTCAAGCCATGCTTGGACATCCTTGAAATGCATTTCGAAACATAGGGCAGGATCTCTTTGAACCCAAGTTTGCAGCCATTCAGAACCCACATGGCAAAGCGAACGCATGCGGAAACCATCAACACCAGAATGCCACTGAGATGCTTCTCCCTCGAGGCCTGCCGGGCTGCGTTCAGGGAAGCTCTCGGAAGTGAGAAGCGGCAAAAGCTTTGCTTGCTTTGGCTTTTGAGCTCTACTGTTGCCCTCGTCCCCCCTTTCAGGTCGACCTTACGAACCCAAGATGTGGGGCCCCTGCAAAAAAAAAGGTTGACATGTGGAGAGACCTTGCAGCTTCCGCAGCCTGGTCGGTTTGCCAATGGGTGCTCTTCTTCAGGGGCAGCACCCCGCCTGATCGTTGCCCCAGAGCGCGCTCTGACCAACGACGTTGTCCACGACCGTGAAGTCGTGCCCTGGAAAGATGGGGAGGCAGAGGCAGACAGAAGAAGAGCGAGAGTGAGAGAGAGAGAGAGAGTCAGGAAGAGCCCTTAGTCTTCTCAAGCTTTGCAAATGCTGCCAACCACCGGAGGTCGAATCACGACTTTCTGGGAAAATCGACTCCCAACAGCTGCTCGAGCCAGAAATTCTCATTTTCTGACGCATCAACATTGTGAAGTTGCTACAAACGTCTCTCACGAAGCATTCTGCTTTCAACGTTTGGGGGGGGCCGATACGGTTCTGAGCAGGATGGGCTTTATGGGGGGTTTAAGAAGCGGGGGGGTGCAAGAGTATACTTCCAGGTGGCTCAGGTCACATTGAGGTAGTAGGGTCGTTCTTGGTGCTGTGAGATAGGTGAGGAGGCGGGAGGTAGATCCGGGTATCTTTTTGGCCTCTCCACCACTTCATGCAAGGTCGACGGGTTTTTTTCAAGGTCAAGGGGATAAGATCCTAGTGATGCAATCCTTCAACCTTGAAAGTGACTAGAGTGGGGAGGATGCGGGCGCGAGGGTGGTGTTCCGTGGTTTGGGAGTCCCTAAACCCTAAACCCTAAACCCTAAACCCTACACCCTAAACCCCCTTTTACCAAGGCGCTACACGGAGCTAGGGCGAAGGGCTGAGGCTCGGGCCTTTCAAGTCGAAGGTCCGCACCTTCACCAAGTCCTGCAATGAGTTGTGTGTCCAGCGTGCTCTACTGCTGCTACTACTAAGACGAAGAGGACTAGTTTTGCTACTGGTATTGAGATGCTTTGCTTTTGGTATTCTTGATATTCTAACTGTCATTGAGCATGTTTATGTCGAAGGAAGAGTCACAGCTTAAACATAACAACGCGTTCATTATAAGCTCGTGTAGCGGGGTTGATCCTTGTAGTTTGATCTCCTGATTCAGTCAAAGGTTTAGGGTTTGTGTTTGCCTCTCTCCGCTTCTCGTGGGAGCTGGGACCAGCTCACTCACAACTTGATCCAAAGTGTGCATCCCCCGAAAAAACTACACGGTGCCCCAGAGAGCGGCACAAAAGCATTACAGCTTCTTGCAGAAATCGACATGTGCCTTTGCATTCTGGATGCTTGTGCTTCAGAATTTGCTCAACCCAGAATTCCACCCATAAAGCCGACCTGAAACTCCAAAACCATTGAAAGCCCAAACCCGTAGCAGTAGCCTAAACCCTTTTTGAAACCCGACTTGTTGACTGCCAGCAACAGCAAAAAATAAAAAAACAAACCGGGTGAAAAAAGCTCGGCGCTACAACCCTGGGCCGCGGGGGCGGGCTCCTCCGGGAGCGAGGTCTCCACCCCTCCGGCCGGGCGGACCGGCTCCATGCAGTTCACCTCGGGGAGCGGAAGCTGAAGGGTATAGTATAGTAATAGGGTATCTCTCGGGCGCTGCCTATAAAAGGGTATACTAAGCTCCCTGAACCCTTTCGAGCTCCCCTTAAGAAGCCTCAAACAAAGCACTTCCGAACTCCCTCTTCTTGGAGAAGAAGTTGCCCCCCCCCCCCCCCCCAAGTGGCCCCCCCCTGAAGAGGAAAGACAGGAGCCGCGGCCTTGGCATCGGCGATGGGGTTCACCTCCCCACAGACAAGCGAAAGCTCTGCTGCCTTCAACAGCCCTCAGTAGCCCTGGAGATACGAGCCTGGCAAGGGCCCCCTTGTGCAAGCACTTCCCAAATCCGGGGCAAACTGTGAGAAACTCCTTGTTGGCTCTGTTGAACTCTTCGCTGGCCCTCTGTGCCTCGCTGTGCAACTGCAGCGCGAGCTTGTTGAAGTAGTAGAGCTCCTCCACGCACCGGGCATGGCTGAGGGAAAAGGGTTGAGGGTTTAGAGTTTAGAGTTTAGTGTTGGGGTTTAGGCATGTTGCAAGCCAGCCAAGCAAAGCGAAAGTCTAAGGTGCGCGGTCCTGCTGCCGCTTCGTCTCCACATCTCCGAAGCCACTGGTGCCAACCTCATGATACCACATTAACCCGACTGTAGCTCACCGATGCAAGTGCGCTTTTTCGACTCCACCCTCACAACCAGGGTCGCCGGATGCAACAGGCTCCCCCGCCCCTTGGCCCCCTCCCCCCCACTCCCCCCCCCACCCCCGCCTGCACACACGCGGCACAGAAGAAGTCGCCGAAGCCAGGGAGGTTGCTCGAGCTGATCCAGGTGCCTCTGCCGCAGGATTCGGAATGGGCTTTGACAAACACCACAAATACGTTGTCATCTCAGACTTGGACCATCTGAAGCCCGAAAAATGAATCAGAGGACAGCTGTTGAATGATTTATCGGTAGACATCTTGGCCGTTTTCCGGGCCAAGAGGACATGCCAAGGCCCTGAAACTCTTGCCAAGATGCCGCTCACGCAGGTAGCCACCTGCAGGAAAGATTGGAGAGGGCAGACTTCAAGACACGCACTGGAACGTCGTGAAGTACGTGGAGTGGGCTTTCTCTGTTGTCCCAGGTGCGCTCCCAGTTGCTCACCAACTCCTCCACAGATTCTCCTGTGTTACATACCATTGAAGGGAACCAAGGCCTGCCCACCAAGCTCCTTTCATGTCCAAACACAAGTTTTTGTCAGGCATCACGGGCCTGCTTGCCCCCAACTATTGGCAGTGGCAACTCGATTGCGACGTTCGGATCGGCTACTTTTTACGTTTAGCGCGAGGAAATCATCACTTTCCTCTTCTCATTTCGGTGAGCTCTCATCACCCAATCCGGGTAGCACTTGTGACCGTACAGCTAAACAGAGAGTCTTTTTTCGCGTATCCAAGGCATGTCCTGCAGGAGCACTTCATGGTTCCATTTGCGCATGGAGCAAAGGCTTAGGCCTGCTTTCGCCACCCACTTGCAGTCCCCCCACAACCCCGCAAACACCACGACAGATGGCAAAGCAGCCATGTAAACACTTTTTCCGTCCCCGAATCCGTAAAAACACATCAAACGCCCCAATCCATGGGAGCCTCATCCCCACGGACTCCCAGGCGAATGCTCTTGTAGCGCTCTTGCCAGCAGGTGGCCTGCCAGGAAAGATTCAGATGCGGCTCGGGCGGGGATGAGCTCAGAAGGCTGCTCGGTCCTGCCTTCGGACTAAGAGGCGTTTGCGCAAACTCCATGAGGTCATCACACTAAGGACGGCTGCCCTACGCAGACAATGCCAGAAGCCCATGGCTGGCAAAAAGCGGCTGCCTTCAGCTTTCTGCCATGCGCGAACTCCTCTGGGAGAAGCCTGAGGCCAAAGGACGCTATCATGTTGGATGTTGGGGGGGAATTGTAGCTGTAGCTTCCATAATGGCTACGACAAGCCAAGTGGGCACGCGCTTTCAGAATGTTTCAGGACGATGGCTCTTGCGCCTCTTGTGCTTCCAGCGGTGGCTGTGGAGTGTCCGATGCGATGGCCGCGTGCATCCACTGACCCCCCATCCTCCTGGTCGCGGCAGAGGTATGGCTGTACAGGGCCTACAAGCACGGATCCCCGAAGGGGACCTGCTCTAAGGGGTCCTATGTATACGTACTTCTTACTTCTTTTGAAGGTTCATGGCTAAGGCAACTATAATAAGCGTGGGGCTGTTTATGCGGTCTCCGATGAGATGCAGCGCCCCTCCCCAAAGAATGATCGGCATTGCGCGACGCAACAGTAAATCGCAACTTCTTGCAGGTTTCCAAAATGCGGGACGAGACGGGGGGTGGGGGGGGGGGGGGGGGGGCAGGTTATTGGGTGGGCTTACAGGTGAAGCAAACCGTTTGGATCAGCACAATCAACAAAACACGTATCACGCGTCCAAGAAAGTAGAAAGACCTCAACCAAATGCCAAATAGCTCTCCTAGCAAGAGCATGTAGTCACACTGGGCATGCAGATCCCAATACCTGGGCGGCCGGTGGGAATCAGTGTCAATTTTGTCGGACTGACTGTTGGCGAAGGAACCGGCCGTTTACCCCACCCACAACGTGCAGGTAGTCTACCTGTTAATTACAACAATGCATGTGCCAGACACTTGCCTTCCTATGCCCAGTGAGTTGCCCTGCATCCCATCCAAACCTGCATAAACAGGTCCGTCCCGTGGCCAGTCCATTCAGAAGCATTCGGTCAAAGCTCTCAAGACTGCACAGTACACATTCACCCCGTTTTCCCCGAACAGCCACGCCCAGTTGCAGGTAGTTCTGCGGCACCACTGTGGTCAGAGCGTAGCGTCGCAACGACTTCGTCCAGCACATCTGGCAGGCGGATTTGCAGGTGACGGGCAACCGCCCCAGAACCCATATGCTCCAAAGAAAGACCGTCTTTTGCGGACAAAGCTATGGACTTCGAACATCCCCCACTCAAAGGCTGCAAATCTAGACGGGCATTTGAGCACTCCAGAAATCTTTGCGGGATGCGATGCTGGGATATCTTGGGGTGCTCCAGGGGGCTCTCTGCCAGACTCTCTGCCGGGGAATCTTGTGGGATTTTCTGGGCTTCGTCAGCTCCCTAAACCCTAAACCCTAAACCCTAAACCCTAAACCCTAAACCCTAAACCCTAAACCCTAAACCTAAACCTTTAAACCCTAAACCCTAAACCCGAGAATCTCTGCGCTTTTATGGCACTGCAGGGATCCGCCGCGGGATTCTCTGGCAAAACGAGCTGAGGGCCCATAGGGCCCATAGGGCCCAAACAGCACATTCCGGGATCCCTTGGAGGTTCGGGGGGCAGCTCCTTAAACAAAAACAAAGTCCCAAACCCCGAAACCCGAAAAAAAGCACATAAATAATAACAATAATAACAATACTCATAATAATAAAAAGAAGAATCATAATAATCCGCCTCCTGAAACCTCCCCCCCCCCCACCCCCCCCCCGACCGCCTCCGGGTTGCTCACGAGGCAGACGGGCGTCCGAGGCACGGCCTTGAGGATGCCCTCCACGCCCGGCTCACGCAGCAAGTTCTCGCACTGGGAGTACAACCTCAGGCTTAGGGTTTTAGGGTTTAGGGTTTAGGGTTTAGGGTTTAGGGTTTAGGGTTTAGGGTTTAGGGTTTAGGGTTTAGGGTTTAGGGTTTGCTGCCGGAACTTTAGCCACAAGCAGTGTGACTGGGGACGTCCTCATACTAACAGTCCCGAATAGGGATTATCGTATTTGGCTGATGCTTCTGTTCGGGAGCGCCCGACGAACTTAGAAGCTTCTACTCATTCGCACTAGGAACCTCTAAACAAAATGGGTGAGAGAAACAAACGCCTCTTGAAACAACCAAAGGAGAAAAGGAGGGTTGAGGGCAAATGGCAAGGGTACATCGACCTGGCTGTCTTAACGTGGTGGTGGGGATCGGGTTTAGGGTTTAGGGTTTAGGGTTTCGCCACCCGCACTGCGCGCACACAAGCACCCGCTCCGCAGGGTTTAGGGCTTAGGGTTTAGGGTTTAGGGTTTAGGGTTTAGGAACGGCGGTTTCGGCCAAGGAGCCGACAGGTGTTCGCGGAATGCTGGGTGCCATGCCAGAAGAAGTGGCAGTCATCGTTGTTCTTGCACTTGATCTGGGCAGGGTTTCACCGCGTCACTACGGCAGGGGTACCAGGAAACGCTGCACTTAGGCCTACTCATGTCAACTCGCTGCACGAGGGACGTCACATCCTGATCGTGTGCCCTCAGAGTACTGCCTTGAGATTCGTGTCTTCAAGGCCTAGGTTGTCCGAACCCACGATGGAAGCCGAAATCTGGACGCCCCCGCGAAACTTCCCCCAGTCCAGCCTCGCAATCTCCGACCTCCATTGACTCGATGTCGCTCTCAAAGAGCGGCCCGTCCCCCAGCATGTAACCCGGAGGGCCTTGGCAAATCCATCTTTGACTACATCGTGCTACTGTTCCCATGTGCACCATCCCCAAATTCGCATTCTCCATCTCATGCTTCTTGTAACGTGATGCCCTCAGACTTGGAGGCTGCAGCTTTGGGGCCCAGACGTCGTGGCTTGGGTGGAATGCAGTGAAGGGTAGTTTTGGCGTGGCACTGCACGTGTTCGGCTTTTGAGACTCCGACAAGTTCTACACCTCAAGGTCTGCATCAAGAGCTTAGATGGTTGTTGGTCTCGGTTGCATTGCCTGGAGCTTCATATACGGTCCTTCTTTGGTTGCTAGTGCTTCTATTCCTATTGTTGTTGTAGTATACATTGCTAACTGCTACTATTCCTGCCTGTTAAGATTCACGTGATATTTCAGAATCTTCATGCTAAGGTAGGCTCTGGAAGCAGCGCGCCCGCGTCTGAGCTCCGGGCACACGAACTGACCTTCCACGATCATCATCGGGGAAGGAACGAAATCATCCTCAGCTGCCAGCGGAGTTTCTAGGCCGCTGGGAGAAGTGCAACAGGCAACCAGATACCAAGTTGTTCTTCAACTTCTTCTCCGCCTTGACATCAAAATATCCAGAGTTAAGAATAGAACTCCTAACTATACTAACTATAAGCCGCGAAGTTTGAAGATCTGAGAACGAGAGAGCCCAATAGAGCCCAATCCAAGGCTCGGCAGACTCAGGCGGCATCTGAGCGAAAACCTCGACAAACGAGGGGTTCGACTGTAGGGCAGAGAGGACAGAGCAATGCAGAGCATGAGCTTCGAAAGGCTATCAGCCAATTTCGGCCTGAGGACCGGTTGTGACGAGAAAAGCAGTACAGGGCACTTGCAGAACTGACAACACTCTGAAGGCGACAGCTTGGGGGTCGCCTCTTGGGTAATTCTCAAAGTTGTTTGATGACCTCAGATAGTACACTTGCCTGAAGCATCCTCTTGAGTCCTACACTGTGGGCCTCTTGCGGGTCTGCATTCCTGGATCCCTCTCAGAAGACTTGCGCCACACAGGGCTACACAGGGCCCGCGATCTGGAGATACTTGGATCAACCCCACCCTGCAACCGTCATCTTGGCGTTGGCCAAAGACCCACCATAGTCACTACCAGGTACTGCTCTCGCATTCTTCGCCAAGCTAACTGGCATACACCACTGGCATGGGCAGCTGTAACTTGAGAAGCAAAAGTCGGCTTGACCTCTCGAAGTCCCTGCCCTTCATACTTCATCCCGGGGAACAAACTGAAGAGTGCCGAACATCGACCCCAACCCCAGGAAGGAAGCACCTGTGGATCCACCGGCGGCTTGTCCCCCCACATCTGCCAAGAGCGCTGCGTGAGTTCGGTTGAGTTTGGGGGACATTGGGGCGGTTGAATGGCTTCCGGCAGTAAAGGATGTGGAAGACGTTGAAGAGCACATGTTTCTTTGTGCAATATGAGCTTCAGGCCCAAGTGGAGGGACTCTCCAACGCATGATGCGCGAGTAGGGGGTCTAGAATGCCAAACCTTGCGCAGCAGATCACACCAAGCTCGAACATGCGAACTTCTTGCATCCCCGTAGTCTTTCGGAATTTCAATCTGCTTGTGAACAGGCACACCGTCTGAATCCCAAGAGCTACTGGAGCTGAAGCACGTCAGCTAGTCGTATCACATCGTATCGCTATATCAGCACGGACAACTCTGGCTCACCCGGCCTTGCTCGCACAATCCTTGGCATCAAGACATTTCGGAAGCAGATGCTAGTCGCCGAAAGTGCCAGAGGAAGCCGCTCGAACATTGCAGTAGAGACTTGTTGAGAACGGAGCAGGGCAAGGTTCCCTAGAATGGCCAGCAGAGGGCGCTGCAGAGCCCGAGAACCGAGGCCCTTGGCCCCGAAGCCGAAGTTGTCAAAACCCCCACCCCAGAGGCCCTCCTTGTCCAGCCGGGCCGCGCAGGGATGCAGCCAGAAGTCCTCAGGGTCCCCGGTGTTCGGGTCGTCCAAGATGATGGGCTGTATGTCGGCCTCCTCCTGCAGCTGGGCAAAGGACGCACCAGTTTTATCAAAACAGCCAAAGCCTTTTCGACGGAAACCCACCGCAAGGACGCTGAAACAGTGAACGCCTAGGGCCAGCCTCTGTGATGTTTCCAGGCTGCTCACACGTTAGGCCGGTGAAACCTCGGCAGCACATGCTGAAAAATGGAGTGGCCTGGTGCAGTGCTTGGGTCCCGGGTAGCTTCGAGGTGAAAAGGGCGCACTCCAGACAGGCACAGATCTGCAACTCAGCAGGCAACTCAGCGGCTGAAACCTGAAAACCCCTGTGCCTCAGCCCCTACAATCTAAACCCTAAACCCTAAACCCTAAACCCTAAACCCTAGACCCTAAACCCTAAACCCTAAACCGTAAGGCTACAGCTAAGGTGTGTAAGGTGTGCACATCGATGGGGCCATTTGCTGCAGTGGTTAAGCGCACACGTTTTCCTGCAGCTGCAGCGCCGAAAGAGGCGGAGTCTACACAATTCTAATAATAATAATAACAATAATAATCATCATCAAAAAATAAGAATAATAATTGTAGTAATAAATAAAAATAATAATCATCATCATCATAATTCCCCCCCCCCCCGCATGTCAATCTCAGAGCTACGGCAGATCCAGAGAACTGCTTCGTCGCCCCGATGTGAGCCACTGAAAATCAAGGAAACCCTCCTAAAAACAGGCTTTTCCTCATGCCCGCTTCAAAAAGAATATTCTCGCGAACCAGAAACTGATAAGATCGTGACTGCCAATCCAGAAGCTGCTTCAAGGAACCCACCCCTCACAACCTCAAGCTGCATACTCTTGGAAGCCCCCGAGCCCGAGCCCTTAGATTTTGGGATGAGATGCTGACGCTGCGCACTTTGCAGCCGACAAGGGGTCCAGCAAACCTTGGACGGAACACTTGGGGTCTCCGGGATCCCCCACACCGGGGTGTGGGGAGACAACCAGGCAAAGCAACCACACAAGCTTTCCCATGGAGGCAATCGAAAAGCCAAATCACTATACACCCTTCCAGACTCCTTTTTCAAGACCTCCCCAAAAACCAAGATCTGCTCACCGTTCCACTGCGACTGGCAGCTCGAAGACGCCCTTTGACACGCTCATGAAGTCGTTCGGGTGCTTTTCTTGCAGCAACCTCCGGATGAGAACATCTTGTGGCTCAGGCCGCCAACGTGTGCAGCACGACACCAAAGCTCCACACATGCTTTGAAGCCGCAGTCATCTCAGGCTTTCGAGCCCCTAGACCCTAAACCCTTTTGCAATACCCTAAACCCTAAACCCTAAACCCTAAGAAGGCTGGCAGAGCTGAGGGGCCACTTGCCATCGCTGCAGCCATCCACCGTCGCGTCAACGCCAGCCTTGTCAGCGTGGCGCACTGCACCGGAGGTTTGACAAACAAAAGTTCAGGAAATGCCCCCAACATCGCAGAGACCCAGGCATCCCTATCACCAATCGGTGACACCTTATGAACTTACAAGTATCCTTTTAGGGGGGCCCAACTTCTACAACGCCAGCACGCAACTGTCGCCCTGTTATGGCAAACGCTCCCCCTTGGCCTTGTGCCGGCGTAGATAGATCATCTCCTGTGGGGTCTTTCCCTCCTGCGACCAGCGACGCTGCTGATGCACATCGCAACGCGTGAGAACATCCTGAGCGGTAAACCGCTAGAGTACATTCTTTGACAGATGCTTCGTGAGGGTGACCTGGCTCGCCCGTGCGGATAGATTGCTCGCAGGTGTTTGAGATCCGTAGAGTTCTGTACATCCGAGTAAGCTCAGAAGTCCCCAGTCCCCCCCCCCCCGGGCCTTCAGGTACGTCATGCTCTGTCGGTCCACATCATACCCCACAGGGCAGTAAGTGCCTGATGAGGAATCAGCAACGAATTCAGAACCCGAACGCAAAGCCGTTTGGCATTTGAAACACGAGGCCGAAGATCCATCACTTGTCACGAAAGTTGATCTTTGCAAGGGCAAAATCCGCCGAGGCCTCGGGCCGAAGGTGTATAGGTTGTGAGAACAGGCACCCCCCTTGCCCCCCCCCTCCCCCCCCTGCCCCCCCTTCTTGCCGTTTGCCCGCGGCTCAGTGAGCATTAGGTTTTACGAATCCTGTCCAAGCCGAACCGTCTAAATCCTGAACCTTGAACCTTGAACTCCAAACCACAAACCTTGAGCCCTAAGCCCTCAACCCTAAACTAACCCTCAAACCTAAACCATAAACCATAAACCCGGAACCCTAAACCCTAAACCCAACCCTTATTGCTTGGGGTCCAGTGACTTGGGAGCTGCGGAATCATGGTCACGCGAATGCGCTGGGCCGGGCCGAGGCTGGTCGCACCGATGTGGGGTTAGAGAGAGGAACTGATTTGAGTCATTCGCTTGCATTCCTGGCAAGACCCTCCCCAACCAGCGCCGGTGGGTGCCGGAAAAAGCCCTAAGAAAAGCAAACAAATACTAGATATCTTCACCCCCCTCATTCGCAGCAACAGCATCGCTTGCCATCAATCCTATACGCGTCGCACTACGATGATTCTGGTCACTGTTGTGATAGTGAGTGTTGTTTGTCGTTGCTGCTTTTTGTTGGGTGAAGAGTGGAGACTATGATTTTTCATAAGGGCCCCCGGCGAATGCCTCGCTCCAGCCAAGTGGGCGCATCCACTTTGACACACGTGCTCATCGGATTGCAATCCTGACTTTGCCCCCAATGCCCATCCGAGGTTTCTGGGGTCAGGCTGCCTGAACCCTAAGCCCTCAACCCCCAGCGACTGCTAACAAAAAGCTGTTTTAGGGTCGGCATTTCTGCAGTACTTAGATTGGAATGATGTTGATTTAGGGGGAGGTCCAGCCCCACAGGTAGAAAACAGTTGGCGCGCACAGGGAGGAGTTGCAACTTCGTGGCTTGGGCTTAGAGGCAACAAGCGCACCATGCAACCGAAGGTCTGGAACTTTAGACCACACATCGCACATCGCAGTCTTCGTCTCGTCGAGCTTGGTGTCGTAGCAGTAGGTGTGCTGACAGGTCATTCTCTGTTCACAAAAAGCGGCTGGGATGCCGGGCATGACGCTTGCAGGTCAGGGCTGAAAGAAGACTCTCGTGTTGAGTTGCCGAAGACATTAGGTTTGTACGTGTGCTCCTTTGCGTCAGCTTCGAACGACCAAACCTTGAATTCTTATTCCAGGCCCAGAATGTGAGAGTAGGCTTACCTTTTTGCAGGATTCGGGCCTTCAAGGGTCGGTTCGGGTGCAATGGCCACAACTTCATTCCCACACCGAAACAAAGCTCTCCAGGTATCACCGCAACACACGCAGCTGCACGGGGTTTCGGGTTTAGGGCCTGGTTAGGGTAGAAACCCTTAACTGGAACTATGCTCGGCCACCCTGTGGTGTTTGTACCATCGGTAGTGGGAGCAGCTGGCCGTGTTCCTGTGGGAGGCAGCTTGGAACTTCTTGGCGTCTTGGAAGGCTTCTTGTGGTTTAGGGCTTGGGGATGCTTGGGGAATTTAGGTCTCTGCCCGCAGTCCTGCACGTGTGCTGGCACTGCGCTTGAGTTTTCGCATGTGTCCAGCGGCGCTCGTTCCGGCATGGGATCCGCTCCTGCGCAAGGGTCTCTCAACTCTCAAGCCTCCCGGATCCGCCATAAAACCCTACGGACCACGAGCACGACCAGCCTCATTGCCACCACAACCAGACAGCAGCAGCGCAAACAGCACAAGCAACAAGCAGCAGCAGCAGCAGCAGCAGCAGCAGCAGCAGCAGCAGCAGCAGCAGCAGCAGCAGCAGCAGCAGCAGCAGCAGCAGCAGCAGTAACAGCAACAGCTGCAACAGCACATGTACTGTAATTCAGCCAGATCAACGTGACTCGAACCTGATTGACTCCATCCTCAATACTATGCCCCTGCCTTGACCCAGCAGGTGGAGTCCGACACTGTGATGTCCATGCGCGTGGAAATCGGCGCGAGATCCTCGACTGTCTCGGACACTTCGCGCGAGGTCGCAACATGCAGAGCAATGGCAGTGCACGACCAGTACATGGCGACACTCTGACCGACATCGGGCAACTTCATGGGCCTTGCAGTCGAGCCCAAGCACCCTACGCTCATTTGCACCTTGCTTAGTCGCTTCCCTGGTCGGGTTTTCATACATGCCTGGACATGGAAGATCTCCCCCAGGTTGTTCCAGACTCAAACTCAAGAAGTGCTAATCATTGGTGTCTGCAGAGGTTCTTCCAAGACTCAACCACAAGCTGCCTTCTAACCCTTTCTTGGAGCGGCTGCCAAGGAACCCTACACTCTCAACATTTAAACAAGACTCAGAAACAGCGCCGAATAAACATGTACTCAAACACCCTGAATCCGCAAGCTTTCTGCCCCACAACTTTTTGCCCTAAACCCTAAACCCTAAACCCTTTTACATCCAGGCCTCTGAAGTACAGGCCCTAAACCCTAAATGCCCTAAATCCTCATCCTCTCAGTGCCAGCCGGGGTGCAGGATCCGGGAAGGACCCGAAGATGCGGCACTTGAGCTTCACATCCAGCAGGCCGACCTCTGCGGCTTTGTGAGCAACAAAAAACAACCTTTTTTTTTTTTTTTTTGGGGGGGGCGGGGGATGGCTTTGGGATGTGAGCAAAGAATTTATGCGTTTTTTGGGATGGCTTTGGGATGTTCTGGGATGGCTTTGGCATATTCTGCGAAGTGTTTTTGGATGTTTTTGGATCTACAAAACTTAGGGCATCTGCGCCAGCCGTCCCTGTCGTGATGTTGGAGGTGGCTTTTGGGCATGTTCAGAAGGAAGATCTCTTGAAGCTCGAGATGTGCTTGGAAATCTCTAAGTTGAACGCAGGCCTCTGGAGGCTTGTTGGTGCCTTGTCCGGATATGCCTCGAAGTTAGGTCGGAGCATGCCGTGTATCGGTTGGAGATGCAACCTAATTGCCATGCAACTGGGGCTGGTCTTCCTAACCTGCCATTGCAGCTTGGAGAGAGGCTTCCTTCGGAGCCTGTTGGAGAGGTTGAGAACGCTTCCTTCCCCGGCCTGCGTGTTGTGCCTGTTGCTGCCCTTGCTGTCGAAGACGTGCACCTCAACGGGCACCAGGCCGAAAAAACAGGGCAGGGGCTAAGTTGGTCTCATGCCTCTTGGATGTTCATACTAACAGTCCTTAATAGGGATTATAGTACCCCTATTAGAGAGAGTTGATGTTTATACTAACAGTCCCTTTATAGGGATTATGGTACCCCGATTAAGGACTGTCTGTAAAAGGGAAAACATCCCAAGAAGCCGCAAGGATGCAGGCAAAGGGGCAAAGGAAGGCCCCACGTTGAGGCTGAGCTGCCCATTCTCCTGGAGCTCCTGGAACATAGGTTAGGGTTTAGGGTTTAGGGTTTAGGGTTTAGGGTTTTAGGGTTTAGGGTTTAGGTTTATGGTTTAGGGTTTAGGGTTTAGGGTTTAGGGTTTAGGGTTTAGGGCTTAGGGTTTAGGGTTTAGGGTTTAGGGTTTTAGGGTTTAGGGTTTTTTTTTTCGCTCCGCATAGCTGGCCGAACCGCAATGCAGGTGATGTCGATGAGCAGTCTGTGTCGGAAAAAGGGGCCCATTATCGGACCCTGTCGTCGTTCTTCATGCCACTTCAGGGTTTAGGGTTTAGGGTTTAGGGTTTAGGCAGGGGTCATCTAAGGGTCCTTACATGGTCCTCTCAGGCCCTTATTAAAGGGTACCCCTTATATAGCTTATCTTGAACTCTAGACAAATTAAGGGCCCATACAGTAAAGCCTATACCCGCTCATGCGAAACTACGTAGAGAGGCCTGCGAAACGCCCCCTGAACAACTTCACAACGAGCGCCCCGCAACCCCCGCAGCCCCCCGCAGGTCACCAGCAGGGGTGGCCCTTGTAGAACCTTGCTTGGCGCTGGCCCTGAGTCTGCCTAACAAGCTCCTTAATAGGGAAGGGGGGGGAGGGAGGGGACGAACAATAGGGCGGTAAATATGCTTCCCTGATAGGAGGACGGGTCTGCACTCTGCATCTTGAAGCAGGAGGCCCAATGCCATGGATGGCGTCGAAGGTGAGCCCACCTCCAGCCACGGGGGGTCTCCCGAATTCCCGGAATTTCTGCATTACGAAGCTCTGCGCAGCTCTGCAGCAAAGAGTTCTGGAACCCGAAGTCGGCACAATCCCAAGTCGAGAAGACGACCTAACCTCACCAGAACTCCACAAGCCGGCCTCTCCCAAAAGTCCCTCCAAGCCCAACCGCAACCTCCTTCTGTTTGACTTGATCCTAGCCCCTTTCCCTCGGGCATTGTCGCAGCGCATGGTGTAGGCAGTGGGCGGCATGTCGCCTGTGTCAGAGGGCAAGGGTTTGTGCACATGTTTCTTAAAGTGAGTTTTTTTCGCGAAGTTCCAAGAGACTTGGGGGTTGGTTCGTGTTTGCCGGTTTGTCCTCGCGCTCCGTATGCTCAAGGAACCACACTGCGGGGATGTGCACGATGACTGGGAAACAACGTGCACCTATTAGACCCCCCACTCACACATCAGATGACACGTGTACTCAGGGGATAAAAGCACACAACCAAAGTAGTGTTTTGTTTTCGTTTGTCACCCGCATATCACGACCCCACCGGGCTGTTTCAAAAACAGGCATTGGGCTGTTGCACTGTCCTTCTCTTCCTCGTCGCCAGATTTGCCCTCCCTTACCAGTGGTCAGAAGTTTTGGGTCAAGGGGCTAGCCTAAACCCTATAACCTATAACCCTCAACCTAAACCCTAAACGCTAAACTTTAGGGGTTTAGGCTTCGCCACTCGGATGTGGGCTTTGAGTTGCGGGTGCAGAGAGCGCGAGGGAAGGAAGCTCAGGAGAGCTCTTAGGACTATGGCGGTTCCTGATCCTCGAGATGGTTCAGGCCTGCCCCAATACCCTTCTGAACCCCAAACCCCAAACTCCTTAAGTTCCAGCATAGAGATTCGCGCCTCAAAGAACCTCTTTGCGCCTGAATACAAATGATAGGCATGAACCTAAGAAGAAAGAATCATAAACATGACACAATAGAAAGCAATGTGACTACTTGCGTGCGTTGAGCTTTTGAGTTTTTGCTTGTGGTTGGAAGTTGAGAATGGCTTTGCTGTGATATCCCCAGGATTGCATCCCCATCATAGGTCCAGTTCCGGCGCCTTCTTTGAAGGCACGGGCAGCACTGGCGGCACCACTGCGAGATAGAACCTGCAGAAGTTTGCAAGTACTACATGCACCAACGGTTGTCCTGCGCAAAACCGAAGAGTTCAAGGTGGGAAGCTACCAGCACCACTAAGCGCTAAGCCTTGAGAAGCTCTGGGGCTCTTGTCATGTGTCTCGAACACATATGACCATGAAAAACGCAAACACAACGTGCCCACCTTTTTTGTGCTCTCATTTCTCATCGTCCTCATGCAACTGGTCGGACTTATCCCTGGCGGCTATGAGGCTCCCACGCTTCTCTTGCCCAGCCACTCTGAAGGTGGTCCGTGGAGTACGTCAGCTTCTTCGCGGGCTTCGGCTTGACCAGGACAAACTGGTGGGTTCGGGACGATATAGGGCTTGAACTCTTGTGAGAAGGGGACGACCACAAAACCAAACGTGGGAGACAGGAGTCTCTTGGCTCTGGAACCTGATGGGCACTATACCGGCTTCACAACGCGAACTTCAATACAAAGACCCGACCTGAGCCACCTCTAAAACCGTGCACACTCGCAACAATTCCTCTGAGAAAACGGAGCTAGCTTGCACTCTGCCCGCTCAGCCGACAGTCATCGCCGCAACATGTCCCTGACCCTTGTGCAGCGTACAGTCACTCGATGTTCTGCTTTCAAGCAGAGTGGCGCCAAAGGTCTTCTTCTCCCCAGTCCGACGTCTTGGTCTTGCGCAGTAGTCCCGAGATCTGGCAGATGTCCCAGTTTGGCCCTGGTAGAGTCCTGGCGCAACATCGTGCTTCTTCTTAGGTGCGGAGTGCGGCTGTGCAGACGACATCAGATCTTACCCCGAGGTTTCCTGTGTGCCCCCCGGGCTAACGCCTGGTCTGGATATTGGACTGGTTGACAAAGGGTGAACCGTGGAACACCTTGGAATCATGACTCCGTTCGCTTTGTTCCTGTCTCACCCTCGCTTTTTTCCTGGGGCTTATGGTTGCCAAGGAGCACAACATAGAAACCGTACCATCATGAGTCTTTCGAATTTCACTCGCACACCTGTCATCTAATGTAAGACCCTGTGAACAGAACCCACCCTCGGGACCCCAACATCAGGTTCTCTGTGTGACCCAACTCTGATCATCAATAGGATCCCCCCCCCCCCCCCCCGAAAACCTCCAACAAGGAAAATCAAGCTTCAGAGCTTAGGATCCCGTTTTGCCCCCCCCCCCCCCCCCCAAACCCCAAACCCTAAACCCCAAAGCACCGAAAGCAGTTGCGCGCGGCTGCACCTTCACATTGTCCACCAAGCCGGTCTCCGGGGCCGTCGCCAGTTTCAGGTTCCTTGGAGGCACGCGGCTCCGTCGCAAGCGCTTCGGTTATGGGGCTGTTCGGGCTTTAAGATTTTGGGGGGCTCGGATTCTTAAGTGCTTCGTCTAGGGTTCCAGCGCGAAACTCTGACTAAACATGACTAAACCCTCCAGCAGCACCTCCGAAATGAGAGGTTTCGGGCTTCTCCGGGCTTTTTGCTCCGGCTGCAGGCTCCTTGCAACTCCGAGGTGCCCTGCGCTGTCCATGGTCACCCACTTTGCGTCCGGCGCGCACATCTTCTGGAAGCCCTGGGAGGGGTCTCATGGGCTCGGCTTAGGGGCTTATAGGGCTTCTTGTGGCAGCTTAAGGATAGGTGCGCAGCATTGCGCAGCAAGGAGCTGCATGGGGGCTGGAGAAGAGTTTGCCGAGCATCTATCGAGGGTTTATCAGCTCCTGTTTTCACCCACGCTGGACCTGACGAGGTACTTTCTGCACTCTCTGAACCTTCCTAGTGTAAAGTAGCCTCTGGAATCCCCGTCTGTCCTTCCACTGACTCTCAGGGGCGGTGAACTTTCGCAGGGAATAGCTCGTGGTCTTCTCCGTGAACCTCGGCATCTGGTGCATTCAAGGGAGAGAGAAATGCAGCCAAGATGTGTCTGGCGCTGGCAGCGTGCCCTGTAAATTGCTTGAACACAAGCAACGACTTGCAACTGTGGAGGCCTGTCCTGCGGGACCCGTTTCCTGTGGACAGGTAATCCCCCTCCCCTTAATATTAGATCCCCTCTGTCGAATACCCCCCGTTGTTTTCGTTTTGCATATTGGGGGCTTTTAATATTCGGGGGTAGTGGGGGGGGGGTTCATATCAGGGGGAGGGGATTAGGACAAGTGCAGGGCACAGGGCTTCTTCTGAGGTCCCAGGCAAAAGAACAGAGGGGCCGTAGGACATCTCAGACACCTCCACCGTCACGCCGGCCTCAGAAAGGAGCAATTACAGGCCGCGAAGCTTCAGACTCCTCACATGTGGCAGCAGCTGAATTTCAGATAACTCCAAAACCCATGCTTCAGCTCAGCGCAAGATATTCGGACAACTTCCCCCCCCCTCCCCCCCAAATCCTTCAACGCCCCCCAACCCGAGCGGCTGTGAAGGAGAGGTGGTGCTTCTGGAAGGCCGTCACCTCGCCAAAACTTCACCGGTAGGGCCCCTGCTGCCCCTTTTTCGGGTATCTGCAGAGCCGATGCGGGTCCGTTTATGGGGCCTTTTCTGTGGGGCCTTTTCTGTGGGGAAGACATCGGGTGCAAATTTGGGAGCTGATGATGGAGGCCTTGCAGCTGACCTTGAAAGCATCCTTGGGCTTCGCTGCACCCTCGATGAAGGTCACCTGCGCGATCCGACTCTGGGGTCTTCGGCTCTCTGGGGGGTCTCTTGCTGTGAGGCCAGCATCATCAGCCAAGTACAAGCATGGATTCAAGCAGGACACGAGGATTGGAGTTTCCGCTGCTCCAAAGCCACTTTCGGCCTGCTGCGAGCTTGCTCTGTTAGAGCGGATCTCCTACCGGGCTCTGCAGAGAACATTCTGCAGAACATTCTGCAGCTAACTCTCACCCTCGCACTGCTCCGGGCTCTTTGGCCCGCGCAGGCAGGCGAGAAGCAGTCGCACCGTCTCCTCACAGGGGTTCTCTCGCGGCACAGGGCAAGGTCAGCTGGCTACTACACAAATCGTGGCTGACAGGCACTCCGTCGGCCCCTTAGCGCCCAATACTCCCTAAAACCAACGCCCCTCCTTCCTGCACATTGTTGAAACAGAATATAGGGGGGGGGGGGGGGCTGGTGAGAAAGGGAATGCACCCCAAGCGCAACAAAGCGCAGCGTCTGTTATCCCCAATCTACAAACTTGTTGAACAAATGGAACACCGAAGAAGCGGGATCTTTTCGTGGCTCTGCCTCCTTGTTCGGACGGGGCGGCAGCACCTGCTTGGCCGGAACCACTAGAATCGCATCATCACCCAGGTGCTCGTGCAAGTACCTCGGTGCTATGGCTGGCCCATCGGATTTAGGGTGGAAGGCTGATCAGGGCATCGGGACATGTAACTTTTTTAACTGCCTATGCTTCTATGCACATGCAACCATACAGCACAGCACCAGAAGAATCACGGAGTTGCTGAACAATCTCAAATCGCCGGGCAACTGCCGCGCCAACATCACGGACTTCAACGCTTTGGAAGCTGGTATGGGTCCCATCGCAGAAAGCGTCGCCCGACCTGCAAGATTGGGTCTGCCAGTCCGTTCGGGTCTGTTCTGGTCCCTTCTAGCCTTGCAGACGATCCCTCGAACCAGCCCCCGCAACCTGGAAACCATCAACTTGACTCAAGCTCTGGGCCTTGCAGCTTGATCTTCTGGGCAATGGTGGCCGCTAAGGTGCCGGGGTTGCTCTCCTTGCCGAACCTGATTTCCTCCTTAGGCTTTGCAGGGCCAAGGCCCTAAGGCCGCATCTTAAACAGCAGAAAGAACCTCTGCTGCCTCCCCAATCTCCTTGCATCGCCTCGTGTGCCGTAGAACCCACAGGAATTCAAAGAAACAGACAACATACAGCAACAACAGCCGTGGCACAGCACTGCGGGGGGATGCTGACTCAGGCACCAAAGACCTTGGCTGTTTGCCACATGATGCCCTGGCGGATAGGCGTTGCAGAAGCATCACCAAGCCTGGAGTTGCGGACTCCAACCTTTTCGATCATTCTTCATAAGGAAGACTGGGGGGCGTCATGCCAAGCGGCCGTGAAATTTAGGTTTTGGGGGGTGAGGGGGGGGGGGGGGCGGGTGTAAACAGAAACCGTACGCCATGCAAAACCTGCGACTGAGGATGCCGTGCTGAGGCTTAGAACCTAGGGGAGACAGCGCTCGTCGTTTACTTTCTGGTATGACTACAAACTTTTGGTTGTCATGGTTGATAGCTTTTTACTTACTAGCGATTCTACTATTAATCAGATGAAACACATTAATAATAGTAGTAGTATTAAAGAATAGTAAGAATATTAAGAATATTCATAATACTAAGAATAATAAGAACATTAAGAATATTCGAAATAAGTACTAATAACACCAATATTAACATTTCTAATAATGAAGAATCATAAGAATAATCATCATCATAATGATAATACTTATAATGACAAGCCCGAGGGGCAGCACGAGGCGTACCTTCGTCGTCTCCGGGTGATTCTCCGAGGCGGGGACGAGCTCCGACCGCGGCTCGCCGGCGACGCGGAAGCCGGGGCGCTCCTCCTCTGCGCCGGAGAAGCAGAATCCCATGTTTCGCCTTCTTAGACAAGCACGAATATGCTTCACACACAAGAGTGCTCCTCCAAGTAATCGCTGGCGAAGAACATGGCCTTCGGAGGGCTTCAGCTGTGTGCGGGGTGTTTGGAGGCTTGGGCTGTGGGGACCTGGCATTCTCGGAGTGAGGGTTCAGGTCCGAGCATCTCCTTTGAGGGTCTTGAGGGTCTTGGGTGCCTGGGATGCGCCTCACCGTTTTTTTCTAGATTTGAGCTGCCATGCCGTTGTGAAAACCTCACAGACACACGTTCAGCTGGTCAGTTGAGTTGTTGTGGCCAGAGCATCTGCTGAGCTTCCCTGATCAGTATATATCTGCAATTTCGGATGACGGTCAAAGAAGTCTCTATCCGGGGCAACCATTATCGATCCCGAGAAAGGTCAGGTCATTTCGCGAGAAGTCATCCGACATCCCCTCAATCCGAATCCATCATCCCCCCAGCCTTCAATGCCTTCAGCTGCGCCATCGGCCCTACCGCATCCACGGCACAGCTCTCGCCTCGCGCCAAGGGCGCCTGCGGCGCTGTCGTTGCCCAAAGAAGCAGAACCAGTGCGGGGCTGGACATCCTTCGCTTAAACCCTCGGGGGCGACCGCCTTGCACCCCTCCGACAAACCACCCAAAAGCCCCAAAAGCCCCTCAAGGAAACAATCTCTTGGTATGGGGAGTTCTCAAGATTGTGGTCCCAAGAACCTTGAGAACTGAGCATGTGGAGTCTCCTTCACGCTTCCCGGGCTCGGCCTTCATCGCCGCCGCCAGGAGCCCCACGTTCACAGCGCCGTGGCTCCGCAGCGGGCGATTGCCCGCGGCAGACGCGAGCCGGAGCCCTCCTCGAAACAAGAAACGCGCACAAAGATGTTATACATGTACATATAGACATATACACATGTGTGTAGATATAGATATCTTTGTGCACATAGAAAGCCAACCAATCAACCAACCAACATTTACTTGAAAGGTTGTGTTTTGGTTTGGGGGGGGGGTGGGGGGTGGGCGGGGATTCCGAGGGCTCACAAAAGACTCATGGAGCCGCACCTGGCTTCAAAAGCCACTTTACTTCATAATCCTGCTGCTTCGACCCGATGACACCCAAAAAGGCGGAAGCCCGGCGGAAAAGGACCCCCCGAAGCCTTTGCGCAGTGCCCAGCTCGCAGAGATACTTGGCAGCCGATGGAAGGCCGCCATGGCCGTGACCGCACTTTTGGGTGCTTAGGGCTCTGTTGCCACGCCATGTTCTTCCACAGCTGTTGCATGGTACAGTGATGAGATGGCAGATATGCTGATACCACTTCCGAGATGTCGGGTGTTGAGACTGATGTGGGAAGTCGGGCTTAGGTTCTCTTGCAGTGAAGCGCCAGGACTGCGCAACTCCCACAAAGCCTCAATCTTAGCTTGAAGGAACTGAACATGTGTTGCTCTAGAAAGGGGGGCTCCTAGCTTGACGTGGTGCGAAGGTCCAAGTTTTGAACAATTCGCCGTGCTGATAGGGAGACCTGCGTGAGGAAAACCGAACAGGTACTGGCAAACACAGCCTGCAAGCCAGGCACTTGCTTTTAACATCCCCCCCACTTGGAGAAGAGGCCAGATCAGCTCGTGCCTCGCCCGTTGCGCCGTTCAACGTGAGATTGTACGTGGCCTGGGAGGCTTCGATGACTTCAATGCAAGTCCCTAAGCCTTGGAGGTCGGGGAGTGGGCATGCTATACATACTGGGTCTACCGATAGTGCCCTCTCTTTGCGCAAGAAGCCACGCAGCGCAAGAGCTCCTGCGAATACAAGCACGCACACACAGAGTTAATCCGTTGTACGACTCCTTTGGACAGTTTTCAGGCTCCATGAGAGCAACTGGAACGCAGCACAACACGAGCCACGTAACTTGCAAGAGTCTTCCAAAGACTTTGCCAGAAGCCCTGGCTAAGCTCCCCGCAAATTCGCAGCCCTCGTTCAAGCCATAACGCTTGGCTGATCGAGGTTGCGGCCACAGGGACACGCTCTCACCAAGCACGAACCTAAGGGAAAGGTTGCGCAGCGGTCACCGGACTTGCAAACCGACGAAAACATTGCCGAAGCGATCGCAACTCAGACCCCTTTGACCCTGCAGAAGAGAAGAGATTTTGGCCTAAAGCCTGTCCGAGCGGTCCGAACAGCATTCCAAGCAAAGCCTCAAACCCAGCTTAGCTCGACTCGGGCCCATTGATGCAAGCGTGGCTACAAACCAATACTACCTCTGCAGGTCTCTCTGTAACCCCCCAGCCAGTCTTGAATGCAAGGAGCGTATAGTCAGCATACTTGAAGGGCGTTGCCGTTTTGATGCCGCCTGAATGAGGGGATGTTTGTGGGACCGTGGGACCATTCAGTCTAGTTCCAGTTCCGCTTGAATACAAATTCAATGCTTCTCAGCTGATGCTGAAGCACTGGTTTCGGATGGCGGACACATGCGGGCACAGCCACTCCTGGTACTTCTGCCCGTATAAAATAAGCCTTGGGAGCCCGAAGCCTGGAAACACTGCAGAGGAAGAGCAGGGAGGGATGTACTTCGCGCCTCCACACTTGCAGCAAGCTTCTTGGCTGCTCGTGCCCGCGACCCGCGCCGCGCTGCAGTCCCCGATCTGCCGGCCTTGGGCACCCGAAGCAGCCAAAAAAGCAAACATCTCGATGCTTGGGCCTAGTTGAAGGGCTCGACACACTCCTCCCACCCTTTTGTCCCGGAGATCATCTCGGCCATCTCCCCATGATGTTTCACGCTAGAGGACTCGAAGGATGGTTTGGGGCCGTCGTCTGGCCGACAGAGGTGTCTCTGGAGTTGCACATGATCCGTTGGCCATCTTTGAAGGCCAGAGGGCGGCTTCACTGTTGTTGCATGGTTACCTCTTGGTCTGCATGGTTCTGCAAGGACACAAAAAATTCGATTGCGGACCCCACCCCAAAGCCCCAACTAAACTAAACTCGCTTCAAGGCTTGAGTGCAGCCAGCGCACAGGTCTTTCCATCTCCGTCTGTCCACGCAATGTCCATGCACACCGTGTGCCTCGGCGACCCAACCCGCTTGACAGAACACGAGGGAACTTCCTTCAAGCATCTAATGTAAAACCAAACTGGTGCATCATCGTAGTAGTCATAGTCATGCAGATGCAGTGTAGCAGTAGCACGATTCGTCGCAATCGTAGCTGTAGTAAAGAGTCGTCATCGTAGTCGTAGCAGTCGTTGTAGTCACCCTCGTCGTCGTAGTCGTCACAGCAGTCGTCGTCGTGGCAGTGCTAGCACAATGCTGGTGTCGCGTTACCCGCCATGCCCGCGTTGTTGCGGCACCCACATGTCAAATAGCATTTTGAGCTGGAATGTGCTGGATATATGCTCAGTAGAACATGCTTGTGCTTTCTTGTGGGTTGTTTCTTAACGTTTGGCGATTGCTTGAGGGAATTTCCGGTTCGAGCGGCGCATGTTTTACAAAACCAACCCCGGCCGCGACAGTGGCCATCTGTGTGCAACGGCCGCAGGCACAGATTGGAGGACCTGTCCAGAACTTAAGATCTAGGTGAAGGCACCATAAGTACTTGGACTGAGCATAGCTCCTCTTCAACTGCAACAAGTCACGCATGGCATAGCTCCAAGCGGTGGACTTGCACATGCTGGAGTTGTTTTGGGCGCTTGAACCGCTGAACGCAACTGCCAAGAAAGGGCAGAGCTTGAGCTCCTCTTGGCGTTTTTCATGTCATAAGGGATGCAAGAAAGGGTTTCGGGGCTTTAAGGGTGCCAAAAGCAGCCTTGCGCAGCCTGTGGCTAGTTCCTGTGGAACGACAAGGCTTTCCCCCACAATTCTTTCGCGAGTCTTCACCACAACGGCACATGGTACGGCTGATTGAAACCAAGCTGCAGTTCGTCCCCCGTAAGCTTGACGTAAGCAGACTCGCGCACTTCGCATTTTCCTTTGCCTCGACAAAACCCAGGCCAACAAGCCACGTTGCAGCAATTCTAGCACACTTTGCGATATCAGAAGACACCCTTTTCGATCGGATCTCCACTCAGGTACATATGGTCGCACGGCCAACTGTGCGAGCTTTAATCAATGACTTTGGGTGTGCACGTCACACCGAACTCCCTGAACCCTGCACGTCAAGGTGCTCATCTTCTCACATCCACCACAATCCTCCAGGAAAGCCGACAGCTGTTCATGAGGTCAAGGGTTTAGCCCATAAAGGACGTGCGGGCGCACGACTTGCACGACAGCCTGACGGTCTACAGTTCCTGACTGTGCAGCGGGAATCGAAATTCCATGGCTACACACACTGGTATGGCACTGCTTCAGGATTCTTGGGGCAAGCTCTGGTGTCCTTGGTGCGGCTGTCGCAGCAGCCGCTGCTTGCGGCAGCATCCCAGCGGTAAAGGGTGATGGGCGTCTCGTGTGTTCGACACCTGGAACAGGATGAAACAGCTGAGGGATGCAAGGGAAACACCAGGGTGTGGCCACCTTCCCATTGTTGAAATAACCTAACCCCCCCCCCCCCCCCCAGCATGAAGAGTGTCGAAATTAACAAAGAGACGCCCAGCGACATGAGGATGCATAAACGTACATAAAGAGACACGAAGACACGAAGAGACATAAAGAAACACAAAGAGCCGTAAAGTTCCGTAAAGAAACGTAAAGAGGCAGAGAGAGATAAAGAGATAAAAATAAACAAAACAAAGAGAGCGAAAGGGATACATCGAGGGGGAGATGAAGAGAACATAGAGGACAATTTTTTGCTGAAAGAAAAACTCTGCTGTACACAAACAATCCGAGAAGAACAAATCCAGTCGGCACCACACGGAATCAATCGAAACCAGGTCGTTCGGAAGCGGCCGCTCGGGTCGTGCAGATACCCGGGAGCACTGCGTACCCTGTGAAGTTTTAAGGGGCTAAACGGCACGCAACTTCGTGCCTCCTTTCTGAGAACTAATGAATCACAAGCCCTGAAGATTCGTGTGCACAGTGTTGGCTGTCCTGCGTTCCCCGCCTTCCACCCGAGCTGGACGCATTGAGACTGAGGGACTCCTGGCCAGGTTTAGGGGGTTTAGAGTACTTAGGGTTTAGGGTTTCGGGTTTGGGGCGTAGTTTGGGGCTTGGGGCTTAGGGGCTGCCAAAGGCCGGGTGCTCCCTCTCTAGGAAGAGGGCAAAAACATGACAAAATTGAAACCATGTGGCGGTGTACAAAAATGACAGACCCCTTATAGAGTCTCCACAGAGTAGGATCCCCTTTCCCTTAGAATAAGGACCCCGAAATAAGGTACCCCTCATTTCGGAAGCGGACCTTGAAGTCCTCATCGCGCTCTCGTACTCTGCTGGCACTTCTCAGCAATGCCTGCGGCTCTCTTGCATTTTACATCAGAAGCATCGTTCCATTCTTGTGCCGTTTCATCACACACCGTCGCACATGTCATGAGATGTCAAAGGCCACCGGAAGGCATGGCCCACTCTGGCTGCCTCCGTACGGCTTGGAACTTTGCATCCTTCGAACCTGAGCTTGTTGCTTCGCCGTTCGCTGACAAAGAAGCCGGGGTCAAAATGAACTCTCTCATCAAGAAGCATCTCCATCGTCTGCATGCGCGATTCATTCCGCACCTGCGTCTCCAGCAACAAACAAGGCGATGAGTAAATTCACGGCCATCACATGCAAACCCATCCAGGATTGCTCCGTGCCGATTCTGACAAGTTGCCGGGAGCATCTCCGGCTGCGGCGGCACGGAAATCACCTGAGGCGCCTGGCCGGGCACAGAAACAACGGCGTGCTCCCGACGAGTAGCGCGATTTCGTTAGAAGGTTTAGGGGAGGTCTTCGCTCCGCCATTCCGTTGGCCGGGCACCTCTTGCACGATGGTTCGGGGGCTGTCGCTGACGTTCATCTTTCCTTGGACTTGGATGGCACACATCCAACGACACCGTTCCCCTCTGAGGCGCAAAAAAAAAAACAAGGCTTGCAATCTTGTGCCTGCAGCTGCGGCAAAATGCCCTGCATGCAAAGAAGCGGCTTTCCAACTTAGCCAAAAGCTGCATTGCCTGCCACAGCTTCCGCGCACCCCTCCCCTCGTGCACTTGTGATGCCCGAGGCTGCTACTGTTTCTTGCCCGCGGCTCTGGTTCTCCACTTGGCCTGAAATCAGCGAATCGAAACACAGAAGGGACATCTGGATTGCAGAAATCACGGACGTGACG